CAAAGGGCAAAACCGTCAAACAGAAAACCAAACTCCCATAAAAGTTCAATGTTCTCTGACAAATTTAAGTCAGAATCCAACACTCCCTCGCAGCTTTTGTTCTTCCTTTTTAAGGTTTGTCTTCTAAAACATCATTAATCATAACGAAAAAAATACTAAAAAAAATTATAATCCAATGTGGCTGCAAACCCAAGAACTTCCCAGAAATCCTGGATCTTTCTTCGTACGATTAATTTCCCAAAATGGGAAAAAAAATATAAAAAATTCAGACTTTCTTCTCATTGCCCAGATGGATGTTTCCGAGTCGCTTTTTTCTGAAGATTTTTTATTTTATTTTTTGTTTTTTCCAGGTGCTCAATAATTTCGAATCCTGCGTAGTAGCAGCGCCCACCACCTGTTTGATAAAAGGTACCAGAGAAACGCGCACACGCCCACACACACGGTTTTCTGGGTTTTTTATTTTTTATTTTTATATTTCTGCGTTTATGTGTGTAAGCGTGTGGGTGGTAGGTTTGATCTTAGATTGCCAAATGGGCGATCTTTGCTCTTTTCCCATGTGACATTTTTGTTTTTCGGATGTGAGTTTTGAATTTTCAGGTGTTTTTGGTATCTGTCAGAGATCGAATTTTGGATTTTGTTGTCGGGTTTGATTCTGTTTTGCATGATTTTTGTTGGTGGAAACTGTTTTTGGCTTAATTGCATGATCGTATCTCAAGCGTTTCGACCTCGAGTTATTGTTTTCATGGAATTTTATTCGCATTTTTCTAGTTTTTTTTTTTACTCTTTTTTTCTCCAAAACATAATTTTAATTAAGCTGGTGGTGGTAGAATGATTTCTGCAGGGTAGAGAATCAAATCATCAAAAATGGTCCTTTGTGAGGCGGATACTATTTCAGGTGGCAACCAGGTGGCGGGATGCGAATCTCGTTGATTTTCTGTAGATGTTTAGTTGTAAGATAGCATTTAGAGACTCCTTATGCAGTGAATTGATAAGTTTTTCGGCCGGAAGGCTATGCCTGCTTAGTGTAATCGAGTGCAGTGGCATTTTAGGATTCATACGGCCAATCACACGTTGTGGATAAGGCTTTTTTGTTGTTGTAGTATTCTTAATCTTTGATTTCTAAAGAGGAAAAACCAAAAACGAGAGAAAAAACTGCTTAGATTTATCTGCAACGTAGCACAAGATGGATCGGTCGGAATTAACCATTCATTGTGTGTGAAAAGGAGATCCTTTGGTGTTTTAGGAGTGCATATAGTAAGTAACTAGTAGGTTTCTAAAGCAGACACCTTTTCCGTTCTTTGTTTCAATCAGGGCTGAGTTGCAAAATTCAACCAGGATGGATCCGCAAGGGCATAACCAACCCCAATCTATGGGGATGGTAGGTAGTGGAGCTCAGTTGACATACGGTTCTAACCCGTATCAGCATAATCAAATGGTTGGGAACCCAAATCTGGGGTCAGTTTCCGCAACAGTGGGAGCTATGCAATCCGCTAGTCAATCACCTGGAGCTCAACTTGCACAGCACCAGCTTGCGCAGCACCAGCTTGCTTATCAGCATATACACCAGCAGCAGCAGCAACAACTTCAGCAGCAGCTCCAAACTTTCTGGGCAAACCAGTATCAAGAAATCGACAAGGTCACCGATTTCAAGAACCATAGCCTTCCCTTGGCAAGGATCAAGAAGATTATGAAGGCTGATGAGGATGTGAGAATGATATCAGCCGAGGCACCTGTGATATTTGCCAGGGCATGTGAAATGTTCATATTGGAATTAACATTGCGGTCTTGGAATCACACGGAAGAGAACAAGCGGAGGACACTCCAAAAGAATGACATTGCAGCTGCAATCACAAGGACTGATATCTTTGATTTCTTGGTAGACATTGTCCCAAGGGAGGATCTGAAAGATGAAGTCCTTGGGTCGATTCCGAGGGGTACAGTTTCTGTTGGGGGGCCTGCCGATGCACTTCCATACTGCTATATGCCGCCTCAGCACGCACCTCAGGGGGGGGCTCCCGGAATGATGATGGGTAAGCCTATGATGGATCCGTCTATGTATGCTCAACAGTCTAACCCCTACATGAGTCAGCCAATGTGGCAGCAGGCTCCAGACCAGCAGCAGTCGCCATCAGATCATTAGTGGGCACAACATGGAAGCGGAAACCTGTAAGTTCCTTTGTTTTTGTTCTCCAGGCTTGTGACTGAAAGCTGAGAAAAAAGCAAAGTGGTGATCTTAATGTGTTCAAACTCTGGGAGTTTTTGTAATTATAATGCAATTTCTTACCTTTATGCTTAACATCTGATATCTGTCTCGTAGACTCTTCGCTGTAAAACAATATCGTTGACGATGATGCAGTTGTGAACTGATTTTTCTTTACCCTTTAGAATGACCATGACTAGCATATATGCCGTTTTCAACGATTTAGATAGTATTTGTTGACATCCCCTCTCTCCCGATCCTTGCAAAGCGGGGTGCCTTGTTGGCTTGCAGTCGTCTTTTATCATTTATCATACATTTCTTGTGATGTGATAAGATCCTGAAGGGTGTAATGGAACTTCTGGTTTCATTTGTTGACTATTTTTGCGTACTTGGGCAGTTGAATTTACCCTTTTGTTCATAAATTTGAATCCGCTTTTGCCAAAAATATGTTTCAATTTCAGTTGCAGTTCAGATAGATGTACTCCACATGGTTTTGATTAAAATCACTCTGGGAAACCTCCTGTGGAGGAGGAAAACTTAGCTATATCAGTTTCTTACCCCCTCCCTTTCTCCGGAGAGAGAGAGAAAGAAACAGAGTAGGTATGAAACCTGTGACATGAAAGTTTTTCTCGTAAAGAAGACAATTTAAATATCCCCGTGCTGTAAATAAATGGTTTTTTTTGTCCAGGTAGGGATAGTAGGCAGCAATAGCAATTCAAGAAAAGCAATGAAGGTGTAATTTTTATGTCTACTCGAAATACAGGCGCATGGTGTTATGATTTCACTCATATTGTAACTCGAACTCACATTCGAGTCACGTAGTGTTTGATTTTACTCATATTATAACTCGGGTAATGATCATTACGTGACGGTGTAAAGGTACACAAAAATATATGCAAGTGAAACCTTTTCAACTTTAAGGTTCTAATAAGAAGAGTAGATGAGTAAGAAGTATTCAATGATATCCATGGTTTGTGAAAACATATATATGTACCACTAAACCAATAAATTTGTAGAATTATTCAACAACAAAGAAGTAACTAACCTTGTCAGCGAAGGTTAGTTGAGCTCATAAGGATCGTTCTCTATGTTGGACCAATGGTTTTAAGTCCTACAGCAGGCAATCTTTTTTTATTTGTCGATTTGTAAAAACAAAAAAATAGGCTAAGACCCCTCTGTAAATCTTAAAAAAAGGCTTTTATAGATAATTTGCATTGGAGTGTGAATTCAGATAGAATGTTTGGTTTAGACTTTGATTGATAACAACAAAGATATTAATGAGAGTTTTTTCAACGCATGAGTGATACTAACATGATACAAACTCGGCGAACGATTTGTATGGTATTAAGAAAGATTATTGTTACTAAGCACACTTAAATGCAAGTCAAAATATCATAAATTAATCAAAACACTTGGAAACAGTCTTGCTGCAACGGAAAGGTTGCTCTTTGTAATCAAGGGTTCGAGTTGTGGAAATAACCTCTTTGTAAAGTAAAGAAAAAACTGCGTAAGATAAATGTTTCTTATCTCGATTCTCACAAAGCGAGAAGCTTTATTGACTTGATGTTGTCCTATCAATACACTTGGAAATAATTATGGTTGTAACATGCTTGTTATTAAAAAAAAAAAATCATTTAATATAATATTAAATGATATTTTAATTATAATATCTGTAATGTACACGTACCCCTAAAAAACAAGAGAAAATTTGAAATAGGTCCAATTTTATAGACTACCTTTTGAAATAGGTCCAATTTTTAGTAACTTTTAACTTTTGAAATAGGTCCAATTTTTAGTTACTTTGAACCTATTTCAAAAAACCCCAAAAAACAACAGGTTTTTGTTTACGGTGCACCTCTTTGCACCCGATTACCCTAGCCTATATAAAGTACCTCATTTTCTTTAATCCGAAAAGCACCTCACTCTCAGCTAAGCGCAGGAAGCGGCAGAAACCCGAAGAACCTCCCTGTTGCGACGCCGTCTCGCAAATCTCCTACCTCTCTCCGATGGCTGCCCCGCTGCCGTCTTGGTATACTAACACACATCTCCTTTCACACATACATAAAGTCTATGTATTTATATCTCTGGACATATCAATTTTACACATTTAAAGTCGAATTTTTGCACAGCAATTTTCAGTTAATTTTGTACCTTTTTTTGGGGCTCAGATCGGTAATTGCATGTATAATTTTTCATGCACACATATACATATATAAGTGTATCTATATGTCTGTGTGTGTGTGTATCTACAGAAACGCTTGTTATATATTTGCATGTTGGTGATGAATTTCTTGTAGTCTTTGCATAAAAAGCTTTTATGTACTTGAAATCGATAACGGTCTGTGTTTTGAATCGTTCCTGTTTCTGTATGTGCAAAGGATTTTTTTTCTTCAGGAAATTAGTTGGTATCAGTGTGACTTTATTGAAAAGGAATAAGAAAAGACAAATACTTTGGGAGTTTGGTGGATTAAATTGATGATGAGTAGTAAGGAATGGTTTGGCGGGTAGATTTCTTAAACTGTTCCTTCGATAAGCATGTGTATTAGGCTAGAACAGCATGTTTTTGAAGAATGCTAGGGGTTGTCGCAGTGCAAATGTGATTTTAATGGGAGATCATGCTTCCGGAACTGCAAAATGAAAATTATGAGATATTGGTTTTAGGTCATGGTCGTCAGTTAGGGAAACGTGTTTCTTCCTAAAAATGTTCAACATGTCATGCAATATGAAGTGGCACCCTGTATGCAATATGCATTTCCCGCGCTATTTCAAAATCTTCCCATTTTCGGAAAGAAGAAAACCATTTTGCCCAAATGGGGTCACGGAAGTTTGATTAGTTCTTTATATTTTTCTGAAGTGTTTGTTGTAGAGTATGATTGATATGGAAACAAAGCTTTCCAATAGATTTGTGTCATTTAGGAAATTAGGAGAATTGAACAAATAGATTAGCCTATTTATTATCTTTTGCGTTCCAATAGATTTGTGTCATTTAGGAAATTAGGAACCCTATGATATTTGGACATTTCCAATTAGGTTATGTCTAGTGAATCATAAAACATTCGGCAAGGTTAGATCCCCGGTAAAGTTTAACATAAAGGAGAAAAAGGGATGAATCATGCTAGTTGTGATACTGAGAAAACAAGTATTTTGGGAAAGAAAAAAAGATATCCCACAAAGAACTTGTAATAGGAAAAACACAAAAAAGGGATAACAAAATAAAACAAGAATTTTAGAAAATGAAGAAAGGAACAAACCACGGGAAGAAAATACTAAGTTTAGCAAGGGCATCTGTGTTTGCTTCTTTAGGCATTGGTGGTACATGATGTATATACATATACACAGATACATATCCTCAGGATTTAATGATAATGTGTTCTTTATGCGTCTTACTTCACTAAAGTATGGTTTCAACTTAAGTGTAAAAGACTGCTAATTACTTATACATATAATATCTAAGTGTATGTGTTGAATTTCTTTTCCAAGGTTAGGAATAGTCCAAGAACAATTGCGTTATGTTTGTCGGTTTGAGTCAGCACGAGCCCAGTAAGGCAACTGGGCAAAGTCTGTTACTTTAAATAGGGCCCAAAATTAGATCCAAGTTACATATATACTATGGAAGGATGTTTTTTAAGTGTTGTACTAAAAGATCCAGCCCAATCCTCATATGCCCTTGTTTATTTAAGAGAAAACGGAAAACCTAATTGCCTAAATTTCTTCCTCTCTTCTTCTAGTTTGCTCTGGTTCTCCCTTGTTTTTGCCAAAATGCCGTTTAGGTTTGTTCTTTCTTCGATTTACTCTTGATCTTCCCTGTTCTTATTGTGCTTTGATTTCTGCCCATTTCTTTGACTGATGTTTCTCTTCTGTTTGTTTTTTCAGTTGTTTTTTTTTTTTTTTTTTAATTTTATTTTACTGATGATAGATTCTATGTCTCAGTCAGCTGTATTTTAAAGGGAATGTTTTTATTTTATGTTAGTTAATTCTTTCAAGAGAATTGGGTGTATAGGATGAGTCTATTGTTTCTTGTTTCTGTTTTTCTTTTTTGGATGATGGGTACTGTAAGTGCCGCCTCTGGAACACGGGAAATGATTGGGGGGGTTTTGTCATGGATTTTAGGGTATTTCATGTTTATGGTGTTGCTATATTTTGAAGTATGTAGCTTCCAATATCCCGATGATTTATTTGCACTCCCACCTATTGTGGTTGAATGAAAAAAAAAATCAACTCGCCAAATTATGTGTGTTTTTTTTTATTTTAAATTTTTAAGTCTGAATGCTTGCAACTAAACAATATTGATTGCACCTTATTACTTGGTGATAAAAGGTTTAGTTTTTTTATTTTTTATTTTTTATTCCAATGTAATATGAGGACCACATTTCATTCTTTGCCTCAGGACCCGAAATGCCAGTGGCCTACCCTGGTTTGAGTGCTTTTTGTGATTACACCTGATAATATATAATAGTTAAATATAAAACTCACTTTTTGAAAGCTGCAATTAGAAAATAATCATTTATCACATTCCTTTGGAAAGTGAGTAGAAATATATGTATTTCTGTTATTATGGAGGTGCTTAATGCCCGAAAATGCAACTCGTCTAATTATTTGCCTGCTGAGATAAACTTTGAGGTATTCTTGTAGGTTCGCGGGAACAAGTAAGACTAATGAACCAGATCAATCAGATCCTCAACAACCAAAGTTTGATCCTACACAACCCATATTATTACATCCAACACCTCTCAGAAGTGAGCCTTATATTCCGCCTACAATGGATTTATCAGAAACCTCAGACTTTGATGCAGAAGAACAGATGCAGCAAGTTATGATAGTTCTACCAACTCAGTCAGCAATAGAAGAGAAGAATAAGATTTTGGAAACCAATGAGTCAACAATTATTTTGACTGGAGCTGCTGCTGCATTGGCACAAGGGGGACCAACAGTAGGATCAGTTGATATTGGTGAGAACGAAGACTCATACTTATTCCGTGTCTCTATACCAGGGGCTTTGAAGGAAGACAGTGAGTATGATCACCTTGCGTCATTTTGTTCAATACTTGATTGTTATTGTTGTACGTTCTTATAACTTATTATTCCTTTTTGTTAATTGGATGCACCATGAACGGATACTCTTGTTTGTTGCTTAGCATTCTTTATCTCATATAATAATGGTTGATTGTTTGAATGCTTGTAGCATATTAGACTAAGTATATACATCTTTGACAAAGGCGTGATTATCAGTCAAAAGTTAATTTGTTCAACATTAGTCATGCATGTGTAACTAAGCAGGGCATATCTCCAAGATTTTTTTTAGTGAAAAAGAGAATAGATTCTCCATTTTTATACCGCATAACCTATTATTTTGAATTTTTATTTTGACACCAAGCATCTACAATTGCATCTTAGTCTTCGACCCATCTTCTAGCTTTATTTTCCGTGTGTCTTCCATGATTATTTTTAGCAACAGTGTGAAAGAAGTTAGTGTTCTTATCACCTTCCTGGATTAAAGTGATTGATCAGTAGAGGTCGAGTGAGGCATGGTGTTTGAAATCCGTTAACCACCATATGGTGTTGTGAGGTCACCTTAAGAATGCCCTAAGCTATTAAGGTTAGTAGGGCACAACATACACACAACAAAAACATTAGTCATGCATGTTGACTTTTTTGTATGTTTCTATAATGTGTTCCTATTAGACTTTGAATAACTGGGTTATCTGTTTATCATGAAGCTGGGTTATCTATTTGTCTCAACATGTCTTGATACTTATTATCATGCTTAATGAACCACATCTCGTCTTTGCCAATGCAGAATTTAGTTGTAATGTTGATCCTGATGGGAAAGTATTAATACAAGGAGTAACTACGACAGGAGGGAAAATCGTATGCAGGGATTTCCATGTCTTTAAGATGAAGACGCAAAATCTGTGCCCACCAGGTCACTTCTCTGTCTCGATCCAGCTTCCTGGTCCAGTTGAAAGCGAGCAAAAAATTGTCTCTCTCGAGAATGAGGGGATTTTGGAGGGCATTGTGAAGAAAAAACTACCATAAATATTCTGCTTTGAGGAGCTTGTATGCTTTCTTATGATGAAGAGGTCTGAATTGAATGGAGAAGACTCCATATGTTAGGACTTAAGATGTAGACAATAAATAATTGCCTCTGTTAAGCGGAGGATGAGGCCTTGGATACGAGCTAGAGGTGATATACAGTACGCTTGCTCGAGCCCAACTAATAGTGAACTGGGGCTTTGCTAAGCTGTTTGTATTCACTCATTTTAAGACTGGAAGCTGTGTTCATGAGTGGACTATGTTTTATTTTCGTTGAAAGTTCTCTCTACTGAGACGAGTTCATGGTGAAACAGCTGGTAGTTATCTTGAAACTTACAAGATATTTAGCTTTGCTTATTTTGTGGAAAATGGTCTCTTATGGATTTATATTTTTATGAAGAGTACTTTTGGAGAAAATTATATATCGTTTGAGTTTACTAAAAGCGCTTTTGATGAAATTGCTTTTGGAATGCAAGAAGCACATAACTGGTGTTTCTTCCAATTGCACTCCAAGTGCTTTTGGAACCCAAAAACACTTTCACCAAAAGCGTTTCCAGTTACTTTAAAAGCACTTCCAAATGTGTGTGTATGTTTTGGGTGGGTGGGTGGGGTTGACCGTAAGGAGCTGACATTGGTAGTGGTGCTTAGGTTGTGATTAACAGCTTGCTGGTCGGAACACCAAACTGCAGGTTTGAACTTTGAAACCCAATTCAGGCCGTTCATAAGTTTGTTTTCTTTTCTTTACCTGCCTCTTGGATATCTGAATGAGTGGGCAAGTGTTTTGGTTGTATTGACCAAAAGATTTTTTGAAACCTCCTCATGCATCTGTGTCCTGTGAAGTTTATGACCATCCAACCTTAATTAAGCATCTTCACAAATTTTGGGGTTTATTCCCAGTTCACATTTTTCTTAGATTCTCTGATGAGAATTTGTGGCATCTCTTACTGAGAGTCCTGCTTTCACTGCTGTACTTCCCCTGACCTGCTACTGTTTTGCATTTCTGCATCCCTAATTCATGTTTATTATGTTGCAGATTATAAGGATGCCCACAGCTGTTGTGGTTAGATGTAGGCTTTCTGGAAAGTTAGGAAGGTTGCTTTGGTTTAGTTGGTGTATCTTCAAGTCTTTAGCTTTTTTAGTTGTTATCAAGTGCCTCACTCCCTAATATTAACTCTTCATGTTGTCTTGGGGCAGCAACGTTGTGTGCAATTTCTTATCTGAATTTTAATGAATGCCAGTATTTGAATTACTTATGGTTTTGTTTCTGGGAGCATACATGTATAGCTTTTTAATTTTGTGAGTTACATGAATTTTAAAACACCATGTTCAGTATTTGGCTCTACAGGTTCCTGCATTTAATTTTTTATTTTTAGAGGTTACTCTGCCAAACTTCTGCCAGCAAATTCTTGGTTTGTCTCATACAAGATAAACTGACACGTAAACTTTTCGATATTCTCAGTTAATGGTTGAAGCAATTTTGGCATCGTAAAGTTTGCTTGCCTTCTGGAATCGCATAATTTGTAGAGGTATTACTTTCCTGACTCTTGTCTTTTATTGTATGCAGTTATTTTCTTCCCAAGTTAGTAGATTGTGAATTGATTAGAATCTATATAGATATAGTAAGCCAGTTTTCTTCCTCTGTTAAGGTTTTAATTATTGCTTAGTACTTGGAAAATCATCTAATGGTTGTCTTACTATTTCATCCTTTACCATATCTTACAAAATACAATAATGTTATTTGTACTGCATTTATTGACTCCGTTACTGACCACCCTTCTAATAGAGGTGGGCCCACAAACATGTTTGGCCACCCTCTGTTAGAAGGTTGGTCAGCAACGGGGTCAATAAATGTGGTGTAAATAGCAGCACTCTACGAGATATTTATTAGAAGCATAAAATTTTCCGTCACTGTTATGGTATAGACATAAAAGTTAAAAGGTAATTGGTGAAATATGGGTTTACTGCAACTAGAAAAGGTTTTTTTTTATTTTATTTTTTTTATTTTTTAATTTATAATTATATACAGGTATAAATATATATAGAATGTTTAGCATTTCGTTTTTGGGGTCTTCAATTTTTGCCCAATTTTCATAGTTTCTATAATTGGCAGAGTTGAATGATACGATTCAATGTTTATTTTGGTTGGAGCCAATAGATGATTGCTCCTTTGTCATACCAATTATTCATATAAGCTGACAGTGCATCTTTATGTTCAAACAATAACACATATATCATTGGAAGTCATTTTTCAAGTCTCAAATTGTCTTCTTGCCTAAAAAGAGCATCCTCCTAATATGTAAATATGCCTACCTGTAGAGATGTTTTTCTTTACGAGTAAAAGAGTTTTTTGTTGTAGTCGTGTTAGACGGTGTTGGATTTGGTTACTCCATCTTTCAACGGGGAATATAGTGAAGCCAAACGTATTTATATGTTGGTTTTTTGTACATGAATGCAAAGAACAGGTACAAAGTGCATCTCGTTCATGTTAGGAAGATGGACGAGTCCAGATTTGTGTTGCTTGAGGATTTTTAAAGGCCTTGTTTGGTGGGCCGGATTAGGGCATGAATCCTGTTCGTTGTTTGCTGGAGTTAAGTGCAGCATGGATCGGATGTGAATCTTGGATTCATATTCAAAATGAGTGGGATTCTGAAACCCAACCTTAGACATGGGTTTCCACGCCGGTACCCAAACCCCAATCCAAGCCAGCCCACCGAACATGCTACTAAATGAGTAGGTAGGGGTAGGTAACGCTCTTCCCATGTGTACACTGCATGTTTACCGTGTGTGCGCTGCTGCGTGGTCTGATTAAGTCTATAAGTACTGCCAGTAGTTGCATCCCCAAGACATATCTGTTAGTCATGTGTAGGTAGAAATCAAAATTATCCAAGGTCCGTTGTACCAATCTCTGTTTTTGTGTCTTGCAGTCATGATTTTGGGAGAAGGTGCCAGTGAAGGCGATGTTGAAGATGGGGACGATGGACATGAAGCGAATCCATGATGGATTACAGTAAAAATTTTCGAACATCTCAAAACGCAGATGTTTGAAAGTTGGATCCATGAGCAAAATTACCAGAATGTATTAATTTCCCTTTGTATTGGTGTAAACACCGAATTATGATGTGAAAAATGAAGAAAAGAAGTGTAAACTATCTTCTTCGATTGGTTTGAGTTTCTTGAGCATTGTGTTGGAAAACTCTTATTTGCTTTTGTGGAAGTGATTTTGTTACATGGAGGTTGGATGTGTTAAAAGACTTAAAAACATTTCTCAAAATCCCCCAGAATTCATAACTTTTTAAATCCTTGAAAATTAAATCTTTGATTGAATACATTTGGATTTTCATGAACTTTATAAACTTCTTTAAAGTCCTGACTGTATATCCTCGCCCTTGGACTTCATAACCGTATTTAAAATCCTGATTAAAATACTCTCGAACATTCTTTCTAGACAAATCACAAATTGACATGTGTGCAAACAAATTACAATTTGATGTGTACGAGGACTAATTACACAGCATTTCTTCTATCAGCCATTCTACTTTGTAGACAAATTATAGTTTGACGTTTTTCCTTTTTACCCATAACATAGCTCTATAAGGTATGGGTCGCCACAAATTGAAGGACGCAAGCAACATGTGCATTGTTTAGTTGGGATGGAATTTATAAATAGTCGATACAAATAGTTGGGACTTTGAACTTCTCCTTTCAATCTCTTTGTTTACGAAATTCTATTATGCTTCGGAGCTGTTCTAAAAATCTTTGCTTAGCGCTATCTAGGCCCTACTTAAACGCTAGGCAGGACCCTCTAGATACTTGAAAGTTAAGAAAGGGCGCCTAGGCATGATCCTCTAGGCACCTGCCTAGGCCGCACCCTCATTTTGACAGAAAATATATAATTTTCATTTTGCATTTTATTTTTTTCAACAAGTTGTAGACTTAAATACTAGAATGAATATTCATTATATGCTTGTTGCTCATGTTTTCAATATACTCTAATATTTTATAATCTATACGTCATTCTATTTTACGATTTATTTGTATAAGTAAACATTTATTTATATGTTATATAATAAATTTAATTAATATTAAAAAACCGCATAGGTCCCCGCCGAGACGCTTAGGCGCTAGGCCCTTACCCGCCATCTAACTAGCGCCTTTAGAGCCTTGGCTCCAGGTATCCTATACTTTGAGGTTTTTTGTTGTTGGAGTCATTTTTATCCTCAACCAAAAATCTAACAGCTAAAAACTCCGAAGTATAGAATACCTCAAAGAATACAAGAAAATCCTGAGACCTTCAGCTTTTCTTCGACCACTTGCTCTGATGTTTAAGTTGGTTACAATTGTGAACATTCTTCAAGGCTTTTGCTGGCAGTGGTCTCATTCTTCCATTGCAAACTTCAGGTTGCCACAGTTGTGGGAATGGAAGGTCTTCCCATTCGCACAACCGTGGCAACCTGCAGTTTGCACTGCAAGTAACTTCGATCTGATCCTCTTCGGTACAGCTTACTCCCGATAATTTTTCTCAATTATTATCGTGATTTTCCGGAGGATTTCGAAGTATTGGGATTGAAATATCTGTTTCAGTTGAACACTAATGACCAAGGCCTTGGACATAACTGCTCTTTTGAGTTTATGACAGGCAGAACATACACATAATATCTCATCTGGGAATGTTTTAGTACACTTATGAACTTAACAACTCCATTTCGACCGAACTATGCCCTAGCTTTTTGGCAATATTCCTGTTTTTCATCAGTTCTCTAACCCGATTTACTTCCTGCCATCGACCAGCCCTAGCGTATATATTGGACAGCAGAACATAAACTCCACTGCCATGAGGTTCCATCTCTGTTATATATCTTCTCACTTTGTCAGCTAGATCAACATTTTCATGTATCTCGCAGCCGTTCAAGAGAGCTCCCCAGACAGCAACATTGGGTTGGATCGGCATCTCTTCCAGCAGTCTCATCGCCTCATCAAAGCGGCCTGCTCGACTCAGAAGATCAACCATGCAGCAATAATGATCCGCAGTCGGCTTTATGCCGTAAAGATTTACCATTGAGGCAAAATGTCTCTGACCCTCCTCTACAAGACCGATATGGCTACATGCCGATAAAACCCCAATGTAAGTGATCTGGTCTGGAATAACACTAGCATCCTCTTGCATTTTTCTGAATATATGTAGAGCTTCCATACCGTGTCCATGCGTAGCTAAACAGATAATCATGCTAGTCCATGCCATCACATCTTTCTTCTGCAAGTTCTCGAAAATTCTTCGAGCACTTCCTGCATCTCCAATTTTAGCATACATGTCGACTAAGGCAGTCCCAATTGTAGTATCTTTGCACATGCTAGTTTTCGATACATATGAATGAAGACTTCGTCCGAATGCCAAGGCCCCCAACTGCGCACAAGCACCTATTACGCCTAGAAAGGTAGTTTGGTCTGGAACAAAACCAGCAATCCGCATATCAGAAAAGAGATCGATTGCCTCCTCAGCCCAGCCATACTGGTTATAAGCACTAATCATAGAATTCCAGGTAACCAAGTTTTTTTGAGCCATTTTGTTGAACAGATCCCCTGCAGTTCTCAAGCTGCCACATTTTGCATACATATCTAATAAGGCAGTTGCAAGAACTACATTAAAGCTAAAACTTGAACCAAATGGATCAAACCCTAGTTGGCGAATACGACTGTGAACCAACTTTCCTGTATCAATATCCCTACTTCGTGCACAAGCGACTACAACATGCACCATGGTGATCTCATTTGGCTGTACATTGTGAAGTTCCATATCCTTGAGCACCTTTATAGCCTCGATAGCCCGACTGTTATTAACAAACCCGGAAATCAAACTAGTCCAAGCAACTACATTCCACTTGGGAATAATATCAAACACCTTGAGTGCAGATTCCATATCTGCACAAGAAGCATACATTCTAAGCAAACAAGTAGAGCCATAGACCTCCAACCCATACCCAGTTTTCACAATGCAGTTATGAACACATTTTCCATAACGGTAATCAGCGATCACAGAACACGATTTAAGCACGAATGGGAAAGTAAAATTGTCGGGCAAGTAACCCCTTCGCAGCATTTCTCTGTACATAATCAAAGACTCAACCGGGTTCTCACTATTGGAGTAGCCTCTGATCATTGAGTTCCAGATGTAGACACTAGGCTGACTGATCTGCTGGAAAACTTTCTTTGCGTAGCCGAGGTCTCTGGCCTCAGAATTGGTACAAAAATCAACAAGCCTACTTAACTGGATTACATTGTTAACAACTGAGGTGGTGATCATCAGCCCATGTATTTGTTTCAATTCACTCATCCTTCTGCATTTTTCCAAGAGTGAGAGAATGGTTTTCTGGTGTTTCTTCATAAATCATGAGCTTTTTCATTGACATGGAAGAACTTGATGGACTGATCAAAAGAAGATCTTTGAACTTTGAAGCTCGAGACTAAAAATAAATTAATAACACCATGTGACTGTGCAATGGTATATATACGATGCTACAAAAGCGATATAAAAGAAGTAAACATCACTTCATTTGTAAAATTGAAGAATCAAAATTCACTGCAAAATTGGTAACATCTCATATTTCGTAGTGTTTGAGGAAAAAAATTACAAGATTCCATTAAAAAAATTAAAAAAAAAAACCTGCTCTCTCTCTCCTGTCTCTCAGAATGCTCGTCTTCCACTTCTTCTTCTTGTTCTCCGAGTAACAGTTTCCATTGCGGGACAAAAAGCCCTAATCTTCAAACCCAATTTCTGCAATTCCTCTCTCTGAAACCCTAGACCCACCAAAACACCCCCAAAAAAGATTGCAAAAATACCGATCTTGTCCAACCACTGAACCATAGCAACCCCAGAGAGCCCAAATCCCAATCCGCAGAAAAGCACATTGCTTTCAACATCTCCTCCAAACAACAATCCCAACCCACAAATCACCAGAACCCCATATAACAGAAACAGCAACAAAGACTTCCTCTTTCGTTTTCTTCCGAACCCATCGCCGCCGCCTCCGAACCCCTTCCAGATCCCCAGACCCCCTCCACTGCCGTCTCCGCTGCAGAATTCTTCAACAACCAGATCCAGCGGTTGAGGCAGTATCTTGAAGTTCGAAACGATGGCCGGCATCAATTGGAGCAGCAATCTTGTTAATCTTTGAGACCCATTGCGGCGTTTGTTCTTCCTCGCACATAGAATTGGATTGTGGGTCTGGATTTGATGATAGCGTGAGAGTGGAATGGTAAAAATTGGAGATTTTGGAGCAAAGAGATTGCTTGGAAGCGAAGTTTTGGTTTTAACAAATGGGTAGGAGAAGCAAAGAGATTGCTTGGCGAGGACCGGTTGAGATTGGAAGTGAAGGATCAGCTGCATTTCTACTCCCTGCTCTCTGATCTCAAAGATGGAGAGGAAGAAGGAGAAAAGATGACCGTTTGAACTTGAAGAACATTCTCCTGTGGGATTTTCGTCACCAAATATAAAATAAAAATACAAGTGGGATTTATACATTTTATATTATTTTTATTTTCATCCCCTTGTGAGTCATCTTGTCTCATATGGAATTTCAATTTTATTTTAAAAAAACTAATGAAAAGAGTTTGAAAATTTTAAGTTTTAATAAAAATAACAAAAAAGTGTTGTAAGTGAATAGTATCAGAGTATTTTTTTAGAGTAAAAATGTCATTTTTCGTTAAAGTAAATAGTGACAGAAGTGTTTCGTTAAAACTTCCTTTTGTGTTTAGGGTTGAGAATACCATATTTCCTAATTATAGGGAAAACAAAAAATTGTATTAACTCTCTTAAAAAAAAAGTATTGTATCAAAACTTTTGGGTTGCATAATTATGACAATTCTCATATTCAATGAGACTAGCGTGAGTTTAGGTAAGACTAAAAATACATCAAAATCTTGAGTATAACACAGTAAGATATACAAAAAGAGCTATACTACAAAAAAAATCTCATACTTTAATGAAAAGTGTTCGGCTAATGAACGGCACCTCCCTCCACTAGTTTTTTTTCTCCCTCCAACCAAGTTCAAATTCTTTTGACTTTGCCGTCCAAAGTTTACAAACTACAATAGGGTAGACAATTTGACTTATGAAATTGAGTGAATGCTCCAAAAATTCAGTCTGCTTTGGGTGGAAATTGCACTCAATGATTGATTCAAACTAGTGATGGTGATGGTGCTGGAGAAAAAAGCATTACGTTTATTATTTTTTAGGGAACTTTAACGAAAAGATTTCAGTACTATTCACTTTAACGAAAAACCACATTTTTATATTAAAAAGTCAATCATGGTATTATTCACTTTACCCTTTATTTTGTCTTTATCTTTAAAACTCAAAGTTTTAAAGTTATTTTTATTAGTTTTCCTTATTTTTTTATTAGCTATAAAGTCGAAAAAATGGGTCTTTGTTAATGTTGTGTATGAGCCAAACTTCGAAACAAACTGCATTCTGTGTATTGAGCCGAAATCCACCGGTTCTGTGTTCCAGATAAATTCTGTTACAAGTACATTTAGCGTTGGACGGAAGTTGTTGCTCGCAAGCAGACTTGCCCGCCGAATTATATAAAGTGTCCTCTTTGCAAGGTCAGTTTGTTCATACCTCATTCTATTCAATCAAATTTCGTTTCTTTTTGTTGTAGTGCTGAATTTCAGTGGCTTGACGCAGACGGAAAATGTTTGCATAATATATGATTATGATGGATGTTTTTTTCTCTGCTTTGAGATCATACCGGTGTTGAAAATATGGTTTACTTCGTGTTCTTTTCGTCAATGGTATCTGCAGCTTTATCTTATCATAGGAGCACAAGTATAGATTGCAGTGTTCTTACAGTGAACCAGGTTTTGTGCTTCTCGTCATTTCATTGGTTGTGTTGTTTCTCATTTTATATCCCTGAGAAACGCCGTCGCTGTTTACATGCCTTCCAGTTGGTTAACTTTGTTTCTTAAGTGACATATTTGACGTACCACGGTGTTGGAAGTCCCACAAGTATCTTCAGCAAAACCGCTGGCCCCAAAGTTGGTTGAGAAGGGAGATCCAAGCTCTGATGCAGGTCTTGACTTCTTCTGCATAAATTTTTTCTGGTGGTGACACGAGGACATTTCAACGTCCTACAGAGTTTCATTTTTTTTTTCTTTGGCTTGGCAATGAACTGGATCGCCTAGTCCAATTAGCTAAATCATAAAATTGTGCGTATGGTCTTTCTTTATCTATGACGACCACAGCAGAACATGCGTGTTATAGTTATTCGGGTGACTCTTTATAGCTAACTTTCTTCTGTTGCTGCTTGTAGGAGGAAGATGTTGACATCGTCATGCACCACATACATGGCGTGATTAATTCATCCCTGATGAGGTGATGTGTGTTACTCCCTAGATCTTCAATTGAAAAATCGAATAATGTTCCAAAGTTTAGTTCCCGTATTTTGAGTTCTTTTGGACAAGATACGAGAAAGAACAACATTAAAGTGCTTGAAAACGTGCAAAATTTCAATGAACTCTTTGTCTGAACTTTTACCTGAACCATGCATTTTGAAGGGATAAACAAAAAGATCGAATGACAGCACCTGAAGAAAAACAAGGAGAATTTCAAGAATCAACCTCTGATGCAGCAGGGCCTTTCCTGGCAGCTAGAACCAATCGGTTTGTACACGAGGTGGAACTATTTCTTGCTTCGGGTGTGAACATTGAAGCATACGATGCTGTGTGCATGCAACGCTTAGGTTGGAGTGCTCCGGGAGTAACTACAGAGCCAGCAGAGGTCGAACTCGCCGTGCACAGACCTGTGATCCTTTATTTGTACATATTTTTTTATTCCGACGGCAGCGAATGAAAGTTTGTCTGCATATGTATGGAACTGCCACTTGAAATTTTGTTTCCGGTGATAATACATTGTCAACTTACGTTGGATCCATAAGCTAAGAAATTCACAATATGCTCATAGAATATGCTTTTTTCTTTTAGGATTTTGACTAAAATAGTCCCCAAGTTCGGCAAAACTCCTTCTTTTGGTCCTGACAATGAAAATCAATAGAAGTGGTCTTTGAATTGTCTTTATTTTTAAGGGTATTTTGTCAAATCAACTCCTCTACTTAACGAGGATATTGACAGATTTTTTATAGAATAAGCAAAATAATTTATAATGGACAAATTCAAGAACCACTTGTATCGATGAGGACCGTAGTGAGGACTTAAGCAACCTCCAGAATTTCCACTTTGTCCTTACTGACTGAAGTGACCACCTTATCAACAACAGATATTTTTAAGGAATAGTATCTGTCCTTGCATTTAAATAGGATCGTCGTGTGATTGATGAGTGGAGAGCTATTCACTTCTGTCGTCAAATGTGGAGCTGCTGCTGAGGCTGAGATTGTCTGAGACAGCAGTGGCAGAGAGAGATGGCGATAGACTCAGATCATGGAGCTTTCGTGGAGAAATTCCTTCTTCGACCGCCGTCTTCGTCACCTGACCTTCCTCTGAGCGGTCTCACCTTTGCTACCAAGGACATGTGAGAGCTACTCTCTTAAATTTTCCTCAATTATATCACTCTTCTCTTTGGTGGATGCTTCAAATTTTGTAGTGTTATACTTAAAATCCATTTGCTTTTGTGCTTATTTACGGATTATGGATTTGGGTTCAATATGTTTTCTCCAAGAACCCAATTTTGTGTGTTGTTTCTGTGATTGGGAGTTTCTTCATTTGAGAATGAATAAAAGCACTTCAGGGTGTTGAATTGTGCAATTTTTTTCATGTGTGTAAAAGCCAAAACATTTTTGTGTTCACTGAAATTTGAACTTGGAGGCAGATTTGATGTGGCTGGACGTGTGACTGGGTTTGGGAATCCTGATTGGGCGAGGACTCACCCGGCTGCTGAATCAACAGCTCCGGTTGTATCGGCAATTTTGAGTGGAGGTGCCACAAGTATTGGTATAACTGTCACGGCTGAAATGGCATACAGGTTAGTACAAAGAGGCCTTGTCTTACTTCACACGCTTAAACTTGCATTACTGTTTTGTTTGCAAAAATTTTGACAACTGATTTATCTCTACAAGTTTCTTTTCGTGGTAAAAGTATTTAAATAATGATTTTGTGCATTGGAAAATCACTCGGCAGAAAACGCCCTTGAATTTCGCATTGTGTTGTTGGCAGTTTAGATGGAGAGAACAAGCATTATGGCACACCCAAAAATCCGTGCGCACCAGATAGGGTGCCGGGAGGCTCTTCTAGCGGTTCTGCTGTTGCCGTAGCTGCAGGCCTCGCAGATTTTTCCTTAGGTAAGTTATTCCTTGTGTGCTTTTGTTGTTTTCTTGCTTCTTTATGTTGAAGCACAAGACCCTCACTTTTTCAGGAACCGACACTGGAGGAAGTGTAAGAGTTCCTGCTTCATATTGTGGAATTTTTGGGTTTCGGCCATCTCATGGTGTCATTTCTACTTCTGGAGTTACTCCTCTGGCACAAAGTTTCGATACAGTGGGTGAGAAATCAATGACATTTTATACTGCAGACTGGCTTAGGAAATAGATTTCTGGTTGTGACAAAAAAAAAGGTCATGTTTTGGTTTGTTCCCTCGATTTTATGTAACAGGAAATATCTCTCTCTATTTCTAGAAAGTAGCTAACTTCTTCCGCTTAAATGATTCATATGCCATCCATGCATTCTGCATCTTTGTTGATTATTACTCGTGCCACTTATGTGTTTAAGATTTTCTGCAATTGGGAATATAGTACTTCGAAAGCTTTACCTATTCGAATGATCTATCTAGCACTCTAAGCAATTGGAAACCATCCTTTTGACACTAACACTAACTTCTGATATAGGATGGTTTGCAAGGAATCCTGCGATTTTGAATAGAGTTGGACGAGTGTTACTCCAATTGCCTGATACGGGTCCTGTCGTACCCACTCAGTTAATCATCGCAGAAGACTGTTTCCAGATTTCAAGTGTTCCAAGCAGTCGAGTGAAACAAGTACTTGTTGACTCAGTTGAGAAGTTATTTGGGGGTAAGTGATTTGACCGTATTCATCGTATTCATCTGTTTCATCTCTCGCTGTAATTATTTTGATTGACATGAATCGAGTCCAATTTATAATTCCCTCGCGTTTTAAGACGCAAATGGGCCATTAAGTTCAATAGACAGATTATTACCTGAAAATCATTCACTTAATTAAATTAGGTCTCCTGCTGAATGGGGACAAGCTCACTCGTTATATCTGCAAATGCAGGTCATGTCATAAAATATGCTAACCTCGGGGACGTTGTCAAGGACAAAGTTCCAAGCTTGAAGTCTTTCTTGGATGAAGGAAATCCAAGTGAAGAGTACATTATACCGTCATTGGCAGCCCTATCAACCGCCTTTCAACTTCTCGTAAGGTGCTGATTTGGTGAACTTGAATATGAGTGTGATAATTTCTGCATCTTCTTCTTGATTAATAAAAATTAAATTTGTCGTTCATAAAGAATTCCAAATTTATTATTTGGTTGATTGAATAGGTATGAATTCAAGAGCAACCATGGTGAATGGGTTAGTACAGTCAGACCTGACTTAGGTCCCGGGATAGCAGAACGTGTATGGGCAGCTGTTCGGTCAACAGATGAAAATGTCGATGTTTGTCACTCCGTGATGAATGAATCACGCGCTGCTCTTACCGACCTTCTCGGGGTACTCTCTCTCTCTCTCATCTTTGCACACGCCAGAGTTCATTTTCGGAATCCGTCGCTTCATATCAAATGAGTTCATTTTGTTAGAGTAGAGAGACTGACAAACTGTTATTTGTTAGCATCTTCCTTCCTTTTGCTCTTAAAACGAAACTTTTAGCAGAAGAAATGGATGATACAAACTGTCTCTAATGAATATGTGACACAATCTCTTTGATTTACTCATCAGGATTTCGGTGTCCTCGCAATGCCTACAGTTCCAGGGGATCCACCAAAGCTGCAAACAGATCCTACTACACTGGAAGGTGTTCATGCCAGGGCTTTCAGCTTCCTATCCATTGCCGTAGTTTCCGGATTCTGCCAGGTTTTTAAGTCCTTATCTATCTCTACCTCTCCGTCCCCCTCTCCATGTTTGTATACGACATGTTACGATCTTTTTCTTGCGAAAGTTTGTAACTTAATTCTACGTATTTGCAGGTGAGTATACCACTAGGGATGTGCGATAACCTGCCTGTTTCAGTTTCCTTGCTGGCAAAGCATGGTTCGGATGGGTTCCTGCTCAATCTTGTGGAGACTCTTTACGACACTCTCAAAGAACACGTCGGGAAGTTGTGAATGTTGAGTACAAGATTTTGAGTTGCAGATTCTGATAATCTTTTCCTAATATACGTGCTTGTAAGTTCTGCCAGTTTAGTATTGTTATGTTTAAAAAAAAAAAAAAAAAAAAAACGTTTCTGCTGTATTTTGAGAATAAACTGTTGTAAAATAAAGTTGTTGACGATTTGATAAACCTTTATTGTAAAAGTACTTGTAAAAAAAATAAAAAAATAAAAAAAAGTATCTAATTGTTTTGTAAATTTTTATATAAAATTACCGTGAATATGTTAAATACTAAAAATGATATGACATTTAATGTGATATAATAATTATCAAAAGGAATACTATGTGCATGCAACGCACGGTAACTACAGAGCCAACAGAGGTGGAACTCGCTGAGCACATATTTTATGATTCCGACTGCAGGGAATGAACTTTCGTCTGCGTATCTATGGAACTGCCACTCGATATTTTGTTTCTAGTGATAATACATCGTGTACTTGCATTGAATCCATAAGCTAAGAAATTCACAATATTCTCATACAATATGGTTTATTTTTTATTTTTTATTTTTAGTATTTTGACTAAAATAGTCCCTGAGTTCAGCAAGACTCCTCACTTTAGTTCTGACATTGCAAATCGATAGAAGTTGTCATTGAATTGTCCTTCTTTTTAAGGGTATTTTGTCAAATCAACATCTCTACTTAACAAGGATATTGATAGACTTTTTTTACAAAATGAACAAAATAATTTACATTGGACAAATTCAATGACCACTTGTAATTGTATCGATCCTCAATGTCTAAGACCACAGTGAGGACTTAAGCAACCTCCAGATTTTCCACTTTGGCCCCACTGACTGAAGTGACCACCTTATCAACAACAGACTTTTTTAAGGAATAATATCTGTCCTTGCATTTGAATAGGATCATCGTATGATTGATGAGTGGAGAGCTATTCACTTCTGTCGTCAAATGTCATCAATAAATGTGGTGTAAATAGCAGCACTCTACGAGATATTTAATAGAAGTCTAAAATTTTCCGTCACTGTTATGGTATAGACATAGAAGTTAAAAGGTAAATGGTGAAATATGGGCTTACTGCAACCAGAAAAGTTTTTTTTTTTTTTTTTTTGAAATTTATAATTATATACAGGTATAAATATATATAGAATGTTTAGCATTTCGTTTTTGGGGTCTTCAATTTTTGCCCAATTTTCATAGTTTCTATAATTGGCAGAGTTGAATGATACGATTCAATGTTTATCTTGGTGGAGCCAATAGATGATTGCTCCTTTGTCATACCAATTATTCATATAAGCTAACAGTGCATCTTTATGTTCAAACAGTAACACATATATCATTGGAAGTCATTTTTTAAGTCTCAAATTGCTTCTTGCCTAAAAAGAGCATCCTCTTAATATGTAAATATGCCTACCTGTAGAGATGTTTTTCTTTACGAGTAAAAGAGTTTTTTGTTGTAGTTGTGTTAGACGGTGTTGGATTTGGTCACTCCATCTTTCAACGGGGAATATAGTGAAGCCAAACCTATTTGTATGTTGGTTGTTTTGTACATGAATCCAAAGCACAGGTACAAAGTGCATCTCGTTCATGTTAGGAAGATAGATGAGTCCAGATTTGTGTTGCTTGAGGATTTTTAAAGGCCTTGTTTGGTGAGCCAGATTAGGGCATGAATCCTGTTCGTTGTTTGTTGGAGTTAAGTGCAGCATGGATCGGATGTGAATCTTGGATTCATATTCAAAATGAGTGGGATTCTGAAACCCAACCTTAGACATGGGTTTCCACGCCGGTACCCAAACCCCAATCCAAGCCAGCCCACCGAACATGCTACTAAATGAGTAGGTATTAACTAATGAATGTATGATGACCTAAATGTATTGAACAGAGATATGTGAACAGAAGTAAAGAAAGAAGAGAAGTCGAGAGGTTTTGTATTTCACAGAGTAAAGAAGTCGAGTATTCTCAATACCCACACACAACATCTATATCAGCTATTTATACTAGCTAATATACCACATTACACAATGACTCTATTACCCTTTCTAACAACTCCATTCTAACTAACTCAAACCAAGTAACTAACCAATGACACACTGCCATATGTCAACATGACTCTATGGTTATTACTCCCCCCACAAACTGAGCTGAGCTATGGAAGCTAAGTTTGCTGCATAACCAATGCCCAAGCTAAGAGACCTGCAATGTTTATGAAAAATGGGACTATGCAAACCCTTGGTAAAGACATCGGCCACCTGATCATCTGTGGGAATATAGTGAACCATAAGATCTCCTCGTTGGACCTTTTCACGCACAAAGTGATAGTCCATGTCAAGATGCTTGATCTTGGAGTGAAAAACAGGATTGGAACTTAAAGCCAGGGCAGAAATGTTATCACAGTATATGGATGGTGGAACAGATATGGATTGATGAAGATCCTTAAACACAGAGCGAATCCAAAAAACATTAGCTGCACAGTGAGCTAATGCCTTATACTCTGCCTCCGTGGAGCTTCGAGAGACTGTGGACTGTTTTTTAGACTGCCAAGAAACTGGATTGTTCCCCAAATAGACAACAAAACCTGTGATCGATCTTCTGGTGTTGATATCTGCTGCCCAATCTGAGTCAGAATAGGCAGTAATATTGAATTCCTTGCTTTTGGTATAGTGTAAGCCATAGCCAATTGTCCCCTGAATATATCTCAAGATCCTTTTGACCAAAACCATGTGGACATTAGTTGGTTGTGCCATGAATTGGCAGACCATGTTCATTGAGTGGGCTATATCAGGGCGAGTAAAAGTAAGGTATTGTAAAGCCCCAACGATGCTCCTATAGTGACTAGGATCAGACACCAATGTTCCTTCACCAGTAAGAATTTGAGTATGAGGCTTACATGGTGTAGATGTAGATTTGCAGGTATCCATTCCTGCCTTTTGTAACACATCCTTGGCATATTGAGCTTGGGAGATAAACAGTGAACCATCATCTTTATATTGGATATGCAAGCCCAAAAAATATGTTAACCTCCCCATATCCTTGAGTTCAAATACACCAGCAAGATCATCAATGATAGATTGAATTTTAGTAGAATCTGAACCAGTGAGAATGATGTCATCAACATACAATAAAAGTAGAATTATATCATCACCATCAATCTTGACAAAAAGACTAGAATCAGAAGAAAAGGATTGAAACCCAACAGCTGGAAGATAGCTTGTGAACTTCGAGTTCCAAGCTCGAGGGGCCTGTTTGAACCCATAAAAGGGACTTGACCAATTTGCAAACATATCCAGGATAGGTAGCATCCACAAACCCTTGTGGTTGTTTCATATAGACATCCTCTTCCAAGTCGCCATGAAGGAAAGCATTTTTGATATCGAGTTGTCTTAATGACCAACTGAACTGAGTAGCTAAAGCCAAGATAAGTCTCACAGTGGTATGTCGAACCACTGGACTGAAAGTCTTTGAGTAATCCAAGCCTTACTCCTGAGTATACCCCTGTGCTACCAAACGAGCTTTGAACCGAGAGATGCTACCATCTGGATTTTTCTTAACCTTATACACCCATTTACTGCCAATAACAGACCTGTGGGAAGGTGGTGGAACAAGGATCCAAGTGCCTTGAGATTTCAATGCATTGAACTCCTCCTGCATGGTAGTTTGCCATTCTGATGACAAAGAAGCAGCTTTAAATGTCCTAGGTTCTTCACAGGTTGAAATGTCAGCAATAAAGGAAAAACCCCCAGAGACAGGCACACTCAAGGTGGTAGATGAATCATCAAAAGATAAATCATCAAGGTGTAAAGAACACAGCTGAGGTAGAGAAGCAAGACAACCCACAAAGCTTTTCCTGGAAATAGCACCAGTTCTTAACCTGGTTTGAATACACTCCCTATTGATAGATGTGGGGACTAAATTAGTAGTATGTGGAGGTGAAGAAGAGGGAATAACTTCCTGTAGGTGAGCAGGTAGCAATGGAGTAGTAACTGGTGAAGAGGAATGAACAAGAGATATGTCAGACCCCTGTACTTCTGGCTCTGGTGATACATGTTCTTCGGATGGGGTAGTATTTGGAGAAAATAATTCGACACCTGACTGAGATAAGGATTGCAGAGAACCTGCAGAAGTTGTATTGCGCTGGGAATAAGACACTGGTAGAGTGACAAGCACAGGTACATGCCTTGATTGTTCCTGTTCCTCATGACTATACATTCTTGCAGGGCTTGTATGTGAAGCCATTCTGGCAGGAAATAGAGATTCATCAAAGTAGACATGCCTGGAAATAACCAACTTCTTGGTTTGCAAGTTATAACAAATCACACCTTTATATCCTTGGTAATAACCCAAAAATGCACACATCACTGATCTTGGTTGTAATTTGTTACTATTGTATGGTCTGAGACATGGAAACACAGCAGAACCAAAGATCCTAAGAAATTGGATAGCTGGTAGCTTCTTATATAAAGACAAGTATGGAGAGCTAAAACACAAGCTTTTGCAAGGCATGTTATTAATTAGCCTAACTGAATGAGCACAAGCAAAATACCAGAACACAGAAGGTAAACCAGAAGCACTAAGAAGAGTGATTGCAGTGTCCAAAATATGCCTATGTTTCCTTTCAGCAACTCTATTCTGTTGAGGAGTATAAGGACAGGAAATTAGTTGCATAATTCATTTGGCAGCAAGAAAGGAAGAAAACCTCTTGCTTGTATATTCACCTCCCCCATCTGTTTGCAAAGACTTAATTGGAATGCCAAACTGAGTCAGAACAAACTGATAAAACTGAACAAAGATTGTAAACACATCAGATTTATTGCTCATCGGGAATATCCAAACAAATCTCGTATATTCATCAACAAATGTTACATAATACCTATAGCCCTCTATAGATCTTACAGGTGCTGGTCCCCAGACATCAGTATGTACTTTCTGAAAAGGAGATGTACACCTATCAGTTCTAACAGGAAATGGAAGCTTAGACATTTTGCCTTGAATACAAGAGATACAAGTATTATGATTATCATCTGTTTGAACTGGAATATTCGATTGTTTCAACATGAAAGTCATTACATCATGAGCTGGATGTCCTAATCTCTGATGCCAGACATTGTTCTTCACTGCTTTTCCCAGATAAGCTGCTGGACACTTGGTGATATGCTGAGAACCCTTTGCACTTGTGACCACACGAATCTGGAACAATTCATTAGGCCTACTCTTTCCCTGGTACACTATCTCCTTTGTCTTCTTGTCCTGCACAAAGAATGCAGACTCATCACATATAAACCAGCTGTTGTTATCTGCGCATAACTGTTTCACAGATAGTAAACTCCTAGCAACAGTAGGCACATGTAAAACTTTGTTAAGAATCAGGGAATGAGTGGGAGTCTGAAGCTTAGTAGATCCAATATGTTTAATTGGAAGACCAGTACCATTCCCAATTGTTATTTTCTTAGATCCTTCAAAGGGTTTTACTTGAGAAAGAGCAGTAATGTCAGAAGTTATATGATGTGACGCACCAGAATCAACAATCCAGGTATCTTGAGGAAAAGAGTGAGGAGACTGTTGTGCATTCATTGCAGAGAATGATGAAGGTGGAGGATGGCCTTGATAAACATAGTTTCCCCTGTGATAGCAATACAAAGCTGAGTGACCTCTCTTCCCACATATCTGACACTCGACTGCAACACCTGTGATTGGCATATTTGTATTCCTGTGAAAACAGTTCACTGCAGTGTGTCCTCTTTTGTTGCAGATCTGACACTCAATCACCACTGTAGTTCTATTATCAACAATGCCTGACCAGGTATTAGTATTCCCAAGTGGTCTTGATCCCCCCAATTTGCGCTGAGGTATTCCCTCTTCCTCTAAAACCATTATGATGCCTGTAATTGTTAGCACCCCTGTAGTTGTTATTACCCCTGTAATTATTCCCAAATGATCCAGATTGTACATTTGAGGACTGTGATCTAGACACAGGTGGACCACTGGAATTTGCAGAGAAACCATATCCATATGACTTATTTGGAAACACACCAGGTGGTTGAAAATAATATGGCTGCTGGAATTGAGGTTGTGAAGAAAAGTATGGCTGTGAACCTGGAGGTGAATCACATGGTACAACTGTGATAGTACCAGCAGTGACAGCTGGAATATGAGCATGACTGTGAGAATTTGAAGATGATGCAGACGAGTGAGACCCAGTGTTTAAACTAGAACCAGTGGCTGGACCAGAACTGGACCCTTGCACATACAAAGCAGACATATTCTGAGTAACTATGTTCATGTCACCCTCAATTTCCCTCTTAGTACCAAGTAACAAAGCTCGGAACTCCTTCAACGTGAGTGTAGACTCCCTAGCCAAGATAACAGTACGAATAACCCCAAATTCCTTAGGTAAACCAGCAAGACCAGCAATCATAACATCATTATCTGAAATAGTTTCACCTGCAGCACTTAGTTGTTCTCTAATATGCTTGAGCCTCAACAAATATTTATCAATTGTATCAGACCCTTTTTGAATCGTGTGTAGTTCAGTTTTCAAATGATTGATTCTAGATTTAGACACAGTGGCATATCGATCAACAAGATTAATCCAAGCCTCATATGCAGTACGACATCCAATCACATATTCCATAGCCTCATCAGTTAAAGTAGCAAGCAATAAACTCAATAACGCCATATCAACAGTTTCCCATTCAGTGTATGCAACTGTGACCTCCCTTGTAACCCCATGTTCTGAATCAACAACAAACTTTGATGGACACGAAGTGGTGCCATCAAAATGACCAAACAACTTATACCCCTTTAGCACTGACTGAAACTGAAATGCCCATTTAGCAAAATTATCATCCCTAAGCTTAATGGTAAGCATTCCCAAAACACCTTCAACTTTAAACGAAGACGCATCCATGACAGAAAGATTGATATTTCCACAGATCAAGACAACGGTATGATCAAAACAAGACCAATTCTAGAGAATGACACTCTAAACAAATCAAGATAGAGGAACCCTTTCTTGCAACAATACAGATTCTTCAATTACAGCACTACAATCAATACTTCAACTAGCAGACAATTTCACAATTCATACACCAGAATGCATTCATCAAATCAGGAGAAAACATAACAGAATCCCCAATTCACCAATTTAGCAATTCAGGAAAAAACATAACAGAATCCCCAATTCACGAGAATCATGACAGAATCTCAAGCACCATCTTTGTACAGAACGAAATCAACATTCAAGAAAACCCAGACAAAGAAACACGAACAATCTCACCAGATTAGCGACAAAAAACCTTTGCAAGAACCACCAAGAATCTGCATCAGAGTAGCGGAAGAAACCCCTGGGATCGAACACGGCCGTAAACCTTCGCCGGCGATGATACCATATTAACTAATGAATGTATGATGACCTAAATGTATTGAACAGAGATATGTGAACAGAAGTAAAGAAAGAAGAGAAGTCGAGAGGTTTTGTATTTCACAGAGTAAAGAAGTCGAGTATTCTCAATACCCACACACAACATCTATATCAGCTATTTATACTAGCTAATATACCACATTACACAATGACTCTATTACCCTTTCTAACAACTCCATTCTAACTAACTCAAACCAAGTAACTAACCAATGACACACTGCCATATGTCAACATGACTCTATGGTTATTAATAGGTAGGGTTAGGTAACGCTCTTCCCATGTGTACACTGCATGTTTACCGTGTGTGCGCTACTGCGTGGTCTGATTAAGTCTATAAGTACTGCCAGTAGTTGCATCCCCAAGACATATCTGTTAGTCATTTATAGGTAGAAATCAAAATTATCCAAGGTCCGTTGTACCAATCTCTGTTTTTGTGTCTTGCAGTCATGATTTCGGGAGAAGGTGCCAGTGAAGGCGATGTTGAAGATGGGGACGATGGACATGAAGCGAATCCATGATGGATTACAGTAAAAATTTTCGAACATCTCAAAACGCAGATGTTTGAAAGTCGGATCCATGAGCAAAATTACCAGAATGTATTAATTTCCCTTTGTATCGGTGTAAACACCGAATTATGATTTGAAAAATGAAGAAAAGAAGTGTAAACTTTCTTCTTCAATTGGTTTGAGTTTCTTGAGCATTGTGTTGGAAAACTCTTATTTGCTTTTGTGGAAGTGATTTTGTTACATGGAGGTTGGATGTGTTAAAAGACTTAAAACATTCCTCAAAATCCCCCAGAATTCAAAACTTTTTAAATCCTTCAAAATTATATCTTTGATTGACTACATTTGGATTTTCATGAACTTTATAAACTCCTTTAAAGTCCTGATTGTATATCCTCGCCCGTAGACTTCATAACCGCATTTAAAATCCTGATTAAAATACTCTCGGACACCCTTCCTAGGCAAATCACAAGTTGACGTGTGTCCAAAAAAAATTACAATTTGATGTGTATGAGGACTAATTACACAACATTTCTTTTATCAGCCATTCTACTTTGCAGACATATTATAGTTTGACGTGTAAAAAAAAAAAAAACTTTTCTTTTTTACCCATAACATAGCTCTATAAGGTATGGGTCGCCACAAATTGAAGGACGCAAGCAACATGTGCATTGTTTAGTTGGGATGGAATTTATTATAAATAGTCGATACAAATACTTGAGACTTTGAACTTGGCCTTTCAATCCCTTTGTTTACGAAATTCTATTATGCTTCGGGAACTGTTCTAAAAATCTCTGCCTAGCGCCATTTAGGCCCTGCTTAGGCGCTAGGCAGCTAGTCATCACTCTGATTAGTATCTAGACGTTTGAAAATTAAGAAATGACGCATAGGCAGAACCCTCTAAGCACATGCCTAGGCCGCACCCTCATTTTGACAGAAAATAGATAATTTTCATTTTGCATTTTATTTTTTCAATAAGTTGTAGACTCAAATACTAGAATGAATATTCATTGTATGCTTGTTGCTCATGTTTTCAATATACTCTAATATTTTATAATCTATATGTCATTCTATTTTGCAATTTATTTGTATAAGTAAACATTTATTTATATGTTATATAATAAATTTAATTAATATTAAAAAACCGCATAGACCCCTGCCTAGATGCTTAGGCGTTAGGCTCTTACTCGCCACCTGACTAGCGCCTTCTAGAACCCTGGCTCCATGTATCCTATACTTCGAGGTTTTTTGTTGTTGGAGTCATTTTTATCCTCAACCTAAAATCTAACAGCTAAAAACTCCGAAGTACAGGATACCTCAAAGAATACAAGAAATCCTGAGACCTTCAGCTTTTCTTCGACCATTTGCTATGACGTTCTAGTTGGTTACAATTGTGAACATTCTTCAAGGCTGTTGCTGGCAATGGTCTCATTCTTCCATTGCAAACTTCAGGTTGCCACAGTTTTGGGAATGGAAGGTCTTCCCATTCGCACAACCGTGGCAACCTGCAGTTTGCACTATAAGTAACTTCGATCTGATCCTCTTCGGTACAGCTTACTCCCGATAATTTTTCTCAATTATTATCGAGATTTTCCGGAGGATTTCGAAGTATTGGGATTGAAATATCTGTTTCAGTTGAACACTAATGACCAAGGCCTTGGACATACCTGCTCTTCTGAGATTATGACAGGCAGAACATACACAATATATCTCATCTTGGAATGTTTTCGTACACTTACGAACTTAACAACTCCATTTCGACCGAACTATGCCCGAGATTTTTGGCAATATTCCTGTTTTTCATCAGTTCTCTAATCCGATTTACTTCCTGCCATCGACCAGCCCTAGCGTATATATTGGACAGCAGAACATAAACTCCACTGCCATGAGGTTCCATCTCTGTTATGTATCTTCTTACTTCGTCAGCTAGATCAGCATTTTCATGTATCTCGCAGCCGTTCAAGAGAGTTCCCCAGACAGCAACATTGGGTTGGATCGGCATCTCTTCCAGCAGTGTCATCACCTCATCAAAGCGGCCTGCTCGACTCAGAAGATCAACCATGCAGCAATAATGATCCACAGTCGGCTTTATGCTGTAAAGATTTACCATTGAGGCAAAATGTCTCTGACCCTCCTCTACAAGACCGATATGGCTACATGCCGATAAAACCCCAATGTAAGTGATCTGGTCTGGAATAACACTAGCATCCTCTTGCATTTTTCTGAATGTATGTAGAGCTTCCATACCGTGTCCATGCGCAGCTAAACAGATAATCATGCTAGTCCATGCCATCACATCTTTCTTCTGCAAGTTCTCGAAAATTCTTCGAGCACTTCCTGCATCTCCAATTTTAGCATACATGTCAACTAAGGCAGTCCCAATTGTAGTATCTTTGCACATGCTAGTTTTCGATACATATGAATGAAGACTTCGTCCGAATGCCAAAGCCCCCAACTGCACACAAGCACCTATTACGCCTAGAAAGGTAGTTTGGTCTGGAACAAAACCAGCAATCCGCATATCAGAAAAGAGATCGATTGCCTCCTCAGCCCGGCCATACTGATTATAAGCACTAATCATCGAATTCCAGGTAACCAAGTTTTTTTGAGCCATTTTGTTGAACAGATCCCTTGCAGTTCTCAAGCTGCCACATTTTGCATACATATCTAATAAGGCAGTTGCAAGAACTACATTAAAGTTAAAACTTGAACCAAATGGATCAAACCCTAGTTGGTGAATACGACTGTGAACCAACTTTCCTGTATCAATATCCCTACTTCGTGCACAAGCGACTACAACATGCACCATGGTGATCTCATTAGGCTGTACATTGTGAAGTTCCATATCCTTGAACACCTTCATAGCCTCGATAGCCCGACTGTTGTTAACAAACCCAGAAATCAAACTAGTCCAAGCAACTACATTCCACTTGGGAATAATATCAAACACCTTGAGTGCAGATTCCATATCTGCACATGAAGCATACATTCTAAGCAAACAAGTAGAGCCATAGACCTCCAACCCATGCCCAGTTTTCACAATGCAGTTATGAACACATTTTCCATAACGGTAATCAGCGATCACAGAACACGATTTAAGCACGAATGGGAAAGTAAAATTGTCGGGCAAGTAACCCCTATGCAGCATTTTTCTGTACATAATCAAAGACTCAACCGGGTTCTCACTATTGGAGTAGCCTCTGATCATTGAGTTCCAGATGTAGACACTAGGCTGACTGATCCGCCGGAAAACTTTCTTCCCGTAGCCGAGGTTTCTCGTCTCGGAATTGGTACAAAAATCAATAAGCCTACTTAGCTGGATTACATTGTTAACAACAGAGGTGGTGATCATCAGCCCATGTATTTGTTTCAATTCACTCATGCTTCTGCATTTTTCCAAGAGTGAATGGCGTGATTAATTCATCCCTGATAAGGTGATGTGTGTTACTCCCTAGATCTTCAATTGAAAAATCGAATAATGTTCCAAAGTTTAGTTCCCGTCTTTTGAGTTCTTTTGGACAAGATACGAGAAAGAACAACATTAAAGTGCTTGAAAACGTGCAAAATTTCAATGAACTCTTTGTCTGAACTTTGTCTGATGCAGCAGGGCCTTTCCTGGCAGCTAGAACCAATCGGTTTGTAGACGAGGTGGAACTATTTCTTGCTTCGGGTTTGAACATTGAAGCATACGATGCTGTGTGCATGCAACGCTTAGGTTGGAGTGCTCCGGGAGTAACTACAGAGGCAGCAGAGGTCGAACTCGCCGTGCACAGACCTGTGATCCTTTATTTGTACATATTTTTTTTATTCCGACGGCAGCGAATGAAAGTTTGTCCGCATATGTATGGAACTGCCGCTTGAAATTTTGTTTCCAGTGATAATACATTGTCAACTTACGTTGGATCCATAAGTTAAGAAATTCACAATATGCTCATAGAATATGCTTTTTTCTTTTAGGATTTTGACTAAAATAGTCCTCAAGTTCGGCAAAACTCCTTATTTTGGTCTTGACAATGAAAATTAATAGAAGTGGTCTTTGAATTGTCTTTATTTTTAAGGGTATTTTGTCAAATCAACTCCTCTACTTAACGAAGATATTGACAGATTTTTTATGGAATGAGCAAAATAATTTATAGTGGACAAATTCAAAAACCACTTGTATCGATTCTCAATATATGAGGACCGTAGTGAGGACTTAAGCAACCTCCAGAATTTCCACTTTGTCCTCACTTACTGAAGTGACAACCTTATCAACAACATATATTTTTAAGGAATAGTATCTGTCCTTGCATTTGAATAGGATCGTCGTATGATTGATGAGTAGAGAGCTATTCACTTCTGTCGTCAAATGTGGAGCTGCTGCTGAGGCTGAGATTGTCTGAGACAGCAGTGGCAGAGAGAGATGGCGATAGACTCAGATCATGGAGCTTTCGTGGAGAAATTCCTTCTTCGACCGCCGTCTTCGTCACCTGACCTTCCTCTGAGCGGTCTCACCTTTGCTATCAAGGACATGTGAGAGCTACTCTCTTAAATTTTCCTCAATTATATCACTCTTCTCTTTGGTGGATGCTTCAAATTTTGTAGTGTTATACTTAAAATCCATTTGCTTTTGTGCTTATTTACGGATTATGGATTTGGGTTCAATATGTTTTCTCCAAGAACCCAATTTTGTGTGTTGTTTCTGTGATTGGGAGTTTCTTCATTTGAGAATGAATAAAAGCACTTCAGGGTGTTGAATTGTGCAATTTTTTTCATGTGTGTAAAAGCCAAAACATTTTTGTGTTCACTGAAATTTGAACTTGGAGGCAGATTTGATGTGGCTGGACGTGTGACTGGGTTTGGGAATCCTGATTGGGCGAGGACTCACCCGGCTGCTGAATCAACAGCTCCGGTTGTATCGGCAATTTTGAGTGGAGGTGCCACAAGTATTGGTATAACTGTCACGGCTGAAATGGCATACAGGTTAGTACAAAGAGGCCTTGTCTTACTTCACACGCTTAAACTTGCATTACTGTTTTGTTTGCAAAAATTTTGACAACTGATTTATCTCTACAAGTTTCTTTTCGTGGTAAAAGTATTTAAATAATGATTTTGTGCATTGGAAAATCACTCGGCAGAAAACGCCCTTGAATTTCGCATTGTGTTGTTGGCAGTTTAGATGGAGAGAACAAGCATTATGGCACACCCAAAAATCCGTGCGCACCAGATAGGGTGCCGGGAGGCTCTTCTAGCGGTTCTGCTGTTGCCGTAGCTGCAGGCCTCGCAGATTTTTCCTTAGGTAAGTTATTCCTTGTGTGCTTTTGTTGTTTTCTTGCTTCTTTATGTTGAAGCACAAGACCCTCACTTTTTCAGGAACCGACACTGGAGGAAGTGTAAGAGTTCCTGCTTCATATTGTGGAATTTTTGGGTTTCGGCCATCTCATGGTGTCATTTCTACTTCTGGAGTTACTCCTCTGGCACAAAGTTTGGATACAGTGGGTGAGAAATCAATGACATTTTATACTGCAGACTGGCTTAGGAAATAGATTTCTGGTTGTGACAAAAAAAAAGGTCATGTTTTGGTTTGTTCCCTCGATTTTATGTAACAGGAAATATCTCTCTCTATTTCTAGAAAGTAGCTAACTTCTTCCGCTTAAATGATTCATATGCCATCCATGCATTCTGCATCTTTGTTGATTATTACTCGTGCCACTTATGTGTTTAAGATTTTCTGCAATTGGGAATATAGTACTTCGAAAGCTTTACCTATTCGAATGATCTATCTAGCACTCTAAGCAATTGGAAACCATCCTTTTGACACTAACACTAACTTCTGATATAGGATGGTTTGCAAGGAATCCTGCGATTTTGAATAGAGTTGGACGAGTGTTACTCCAATTGCCTGATACGGGTCCTGTCGTACCCACTCAGTTAGTCATCGCAGAAGACTGTTTCCAGATTTCAAGTGTTCCAAGCAGTCGAGTGAAACAAGCACTCGTTGACTCAGTTGAGAAGTTATTTGGGGGTAAGTAATTTGACCGTATTCATCGTATTCATCTGTTTCATCTCTCGCTGTAAGTATTTTGATTGATATGAATCGAGTCCAATTTATAATTCCCCCGCGTTTTAAGACACAAATGGGCCATTAAGTTCAATAGACGGATTATTACCTGAAAATCATTCACTTAATTAAATTAGGTCTCCTTCTGAGATGGGGACAAGCTCATAACATGAAAAGAAGAAGCTCACTCGTTATATCTGCAAATGCAGGTCATGTTATAAAACATGCTAACATCGGGGACGTTGTCAAGGACAAAGTTCCAAGCTTGAAGTCTTTCTTGGATGAAGGAAATCCAAGTGAAGAGTACATTATACCGTCATTGGCAGCCCTATCAACCGCCGATGGTCTACTTGAAAGGTGCTGATTTGGTGGACTTGAATATGAGTGATAATTTCTGCACTTCATCTTGATTAACAAAAATTAAATTTGTTGTTCATAATGAATTCCAAATTTATTATTTGGTTGATAGAACAGGTATGAATTAAAGAGCAACCATGGTGAATGGGTTAGGACAGTCAGACCTGACTTAGGTCCCGGGATGGCAGAACGTGTATGGGCAGCTGTTCGGTCAACAGATGAAAATGTCGATGTCTGTCACTCCGTGATGACTGAATCGCGCGCTGCTCTTACTGACCTTCTCGGGGTACTCTCTCTCTCTCTCTCTCTCTCTCTCTCTCTCATTTTCGGAATCCGTCGCTTCATATGAAATGAGTTCATTTTGTTAGAGTAGAGAGACTGACAAACTGTTATTTGTTAGCATCTTCCTTCCTTTTGCTCTTAAAACGAAACTTTTAGCAGAAGAAATGGATGATACATACTGTCTCTAATGAATACGTAACACAATCTCTTTGATTTACTCATCAGGATTTCGGTGTCCTCGCAATGCCTACAGTTCCAGGGGATCCACCAAAGCTGCAAACAGATCCTACTACACTGGAAGGTGTTCATGCCAGGGCTTTCAGCTTCCTATCCATTGCCGCAGTTTCCGGATTCTGCCAGGTTTTTAAGTCCTTATCTATCTCTACCTCTCCGTCCCCCTCTCCATGTTTGTATACGACATGTTAGGATCTTTTTCTTGCGAAAGTTTGTAACTTAATTCTACGTATTTGCAGGTGAGTATACCACTAGGGATGTGCGATAACCTGCCTGTTTCAGTTTCCTTGCTGGCAAAGCATGGTTCGGATGGGTTCCTGCTCAATCTTGTGGAGACTCTTTACGACACTCTCAAAGAACACGTCGGGAAGTTGTGAATGTTGAGTACAAGATTTTGAGTTGCAGATTCTGATAATCTTTTCCTAATATATGTGCTTGTAAGTTCTGCTAGTTTAGTATTGTTATGTTTTAAATAAAAAAAAACGTTTCTGCTGTGTTTTGAGAATAAACAATTGTAAAATAAAGTTGTTGACGATTTGATAAACCTTTATTGTAAAAGTACTTGTAATAAAAATAAAAAATAAAAAAAAAGTATCTAATTGTTTTGTAAAGTTTTATATAAAATTGCCGTGAATATGTTAAATACTAAAAATGATATGACATTTAATATAATATAATAATTATCAAAAGGAATACTGTGTGCATGCAACGCAGAGTAACTACAGAGCCAACAGAGGTGGAACTCGCTGAGCACATATTTTATGATTCCGACTGCAGGGAATGAACTTTCGTCTGCGTATCTATGGAACTGCCACTCGATATTTTTAAGGGTATTTTGTCAAATCAACCTCTCTACTTAACAAGGATATTGATAGATTTTTTTTACAAAATGAACAAAATAATTTACATTGGATAAATTCAATGACCACTTGTAATTGTATCGATCCTCAATGTCTAAGACCACAGTGAGGACTTAAGCAACCTCCAGATTTTCCACTTTGGCCCCACTGACTGAAGTGACCACCTTATCAACACCAGATTTTTTTAAGGAATAATATATGTCCTTGCATTTGAATAGGATCATCGTATGATTGATGAATGGAGAGCTATTCACTTCTGTCGTCAAATGTGGAGCCGCTGACACGTCACAACCCAATTATCCTAATGACACGTGGATGACATGTGCATACCTACATTCAGGAGTGATGAAAATCCTAAGTGTAGGAATAAACCCGAATAGCAAGGAACAAATAGGAATATGTAAGAATCTGCAAATTCAAATTTGAATAACAAACGGAAATAATATGAAAATATGAATGCTAAATGACAAGGTGATGATGCAAAACTCCCATGAATGAAATAGGAAAATCAACGAATACAAGTCCGAAGTAAAGATACAATACGTCCAGAGCATACCACTAAGTAAAGTACAAAGGAAGGATGAGCGTCAAATTACAAGAGTCAAGAAGAGCCATACATAGATGAAAGAAAATATAGTCCTTGGTATGGAAAAGCCTCGAAGCTCAGGTCATACTCTTCTTCACTATGTTCTGAGGGGGTGCAAAAACAGAAAAGGTGATTGGACCATAATTTACAATAATACTAATAGTACGAAAACCAGTTTATTTTAGAACATAATAGCCCCTTGTTTTGAAAACATATATATAATACTACATAGTAGGTTTTATGAAAAACCCTAGCATGTAGTGTAAAACATTTGTGAAACATAGTAAATCATATCTGTGCTGTACTCAACTAGGGGTATCATAGTCGCCCGAAGGCAATACCTGTCCATCACCCGAAAGTGAAGCTGTATAACCTATCCATCATCCGAAGGTGAAGCTGAATAACTTGTCCATCACCCGTAGGTGAAGCTGTATAAAATAGCATATATCCACACCGACACTAGCCGTGGCTAGTGAAGCTGTCCGACACCGTTTTTGGCAGTGAAGCTGGGGGTATATATAATATATCATATCTCACTCCTCCATCATCTGTGTCCTATGGCCATAGACAATACTCGTGGTGTGCAGATGTGCTCTATGATAACCCACTAGATAAGTATCGAAAACATATCTCAAAATTTCAAGCCAAATCACCGAAACTCAAGGGTTCGAAATCTCATTTCATAAATCGTATATAAAACATATTCGTAAATTCAAAGAGTTTCATATATGCAATTCCAATGATTCATATCCGCTAGTAAAAACATAATTTCAATAAATCATAATATTTCGTAAAGCAACTTAATAAAATCATGAATTCTATATAAACCAAAATTATAGAAATCCGGAAAACATAATATAAAATGCATTAAATGCATGCTAGGCTAATATTTTATAAAAATGTATATGTTGAGAAGGGGTCCATTAACTATATTCTATTACAGGAGGGCTGCTCGTACTAGGATGGGCTTGATCACTTTTAACGGATGCATCTAAACATAAAGAGATTACATTACATTTAATAAAACTGTACTAAAAAGTTGGAATTTGGGAAAACGGAGCGTGAGGTTGAAATCAGGACGTAGGAATTATACTAGGAGTGGTCTCGTCCGAAATCCAAGAAGTCAAACGGAGTCAAAATCAACTTTTAAAGTTGACCCGTGAACGATGAACTGTCCAGGTTGACCAAAAAATCAACGGGTCAGGTCTGATGGGTCTCATCCGGGTTGAGCTTCGGGTTTGGTTCGGTTAGCGTTTTGGGTTAATGGGTTAGTAAGTTGAGCTTTAGTTAAATAGGTTGGGCCAATTTAATGGGTTTTATATGTTTGGGTTTAATTCATTAGTTTTACAGATGGGGTTGGTTCAATAGGGTAGTGGGTTGGGCCAGCCAACCTATTGGATTTAAACCTGGGCCCGGGTTTAGAATGCCTATTAGAATGGGCTCCCAATTGGGTTAGGGCCAAATTGGCCCAATTCCTTCACATGCCGTCCGGAAAACAAGAAAAAGAACACCGGATTTGGGGTTTTCGCCGGGAAACCTTCCCCGGTTCCGATCCGGGCTCAAGCCTTAACCAAAAACCTTCATTCAAAATCCAAAATGAAGAACAAAGAGTAAGGGTTCGAGTCTTACCAACATGGAGCGACGTTGACGTCGGGATGGGCCGAAAAATGGACTGAAACTCACGGTCACTCGCTGGAAAAACTGGGAAATGTATTTCCCCAACAGTTCTGCGTCCAAACCACTCCAAAATGTCTCAAAACACCTAATCTACTCTAACATAATTTATAGGGGTCTAGGGTGCTTACCTCGTCAAAAAGAACTCGTGCACAGTAACTGTGCAGTGCCGAGAAAGAGAGGGTGGGAGCTTGGGAAGGTGAGAGGGATAAAAGGGAGTCCAGGGGGTGATGGTGGTATCCTCGTGATGGTTGTGCGTATGTACGTATGAGTGTGTATGTGTGTGTGTGATCTCGCCGGAGAGGTGAGCACCGAGAGAGATAAAAAAGGTTGGTTTCACGTAGAACCAATTGGATATGAGAAGTAATTTAATTCAAATACAAGCTCATGCAAAAGTCCTTGTCCCGTGAAACTCATTCTTAACATATCATTTCACATATAGCGAATTTTTAAAATTAGCACGTAGATAACACAATAGAATAACGTAAATTATGTGTGGTCATTATACTTCATATTTAGAATAATCTGTTTTGACATTATGAAAAAAATTAAGATTTTACCATAAAATTAATTTACAATATGATAAATAACTTAACAACTTATAATCTCATACAAGAGCCATTATTCCATTATCGTGGAACTCATTCTCAAGATATAAGAGGGAGAGGTGTTTCCAGAGTGAGAGAGCACGGGAGGACAGAAAGGAAAGAGGCACCAAATAGAGGTGCCACATGTCATCCATGAAGTGGTTCAAAAGTGGTAAAATATCCCCCACCTGTGAAATTACCAGAATGCCCTTTCTTTCAGAAAAATATACGTTACGGGTCGTCACAGCCAGTACTGAGGCTGAAATTGTCTGAGACGGCAGTGGCAGAGGGAGATGGCGATGGACTCAGATCATGGAGCTTTCGTGGAGAAATTCCTTCTTCGACCGCCGTCTTCGTCACATGACCTTCCTCTAAGCGGCCTCACCTTTGCTGTTAAAGACATGTGAGAGCTACTCTCTTAAATTTTCCTCAATTATATCACTCTTCTATTTGGTGGATGCTTCAAAGTATGTAGTATTATATTTGAAATTCATATGCTTTTGTGCTTATTTGCGAATTTCGGATTTGGGTTCAATCAGTTTTCTCCAAGAACCCAATTTTGTGTGTTGTTTCTGTGATTGGGCGTTTCTTCATTTGAGAATGACTAAAAGCACTTTCAGAAAAAAAGTTCAAATGTTTTTTTCTTCTTTTCTGAAGTACTTGAATTTTTAATGAAACTTTGTGGTGGATTTGTTTCTACTAAAGTTAAAATACTTCCAACAAAAGCACTTATGATGAGAAGTGCTATTTCAGAGAAGCGTTTTAATAAATCTTCCTGCTTTGTGTGGTTTTTTGCGTGCTTGTGGAACCATAATGATGCACTTCAGGGTGTTGAATTGTGCATTTTTTTTCATGTGTGTGTGTGTAAAAGCCAAAACATTTTTTTGTTCGCTGAAATTTGAACTTGGAGGCAGATTTGATGTGGCTGGACGTGTGACTGGGTTTGGGAATCCTGATTGGGCGAGGACTCACCCGGCTGCTGAATCAACAGCTCCGGCTGTTTCGGCAATATTGAGTGGAGGTGCCACAAGTATTGGTATAACTGTCATGGATGAAATGGCATACTGGTATTTAAACAATGATTTTGTGCATTCGAAAATCACTCGACAGAAAAGACCCTTGAATTTCGCATTGTGTTGTTGGCAGTATAAGTGGAGAGAACAAGCATTATGGCACACCCAGAAATCCGTGCGCACCAGATAGGGTGCCTGGAGGCTCTTCTAGCGGTTCTGCTGTTGTCGTAGCTGCAGGCCTCGCAGATTTTTCCTTAGGCAAGTTATTCCTAGTGTGCTTTTGTTGTTTTCTTGCTTCTTTATGTTGAAGCACAAGACCCTCACTTTTTCAGGAACCGACACTGGAGGAAGTGTAAGAATTCCTGCTTCGTATTGTGGAATTTTTGGGTTTCGGCCATCTCATGGTGTCATTTCTACTTCTGGAGTTACTCCTCTGGCACAAAGTTTCGATACAGTGGGTAAGAAATCAATGACATTTTATATTGCAGACTGGCTTAGGAAATGGATTTCTGGTTGTGACAAAAAAAAGGTCATGTTTCGGTTTTTTTCCCTCGATTTTATGTAACAGGAAATATCTCTCTCTTTATTTCTAGAAAGTAGCTAACTTCTTCCGCTTCAATGATTCATATGCCATCCATGCATTCTGCATCCTTGTTGATTACTCGTGACACTTATGTGTTTAAGTTTTTCTGCAATTGGAAATATAGTACTTCGAAAGCTTTACCTATTCAAATGATCTATCTAGCACTCTAAGCAATCGGAAACCATCCCTTTGACACTAACTTCTGATATAGGATGGTTTGCAAGGAATCCTACGATTTTGAATAGAGTTGGACGAGTGTTACTCCAATTGCCTGATACGGGTCCTGTCGTACCCACTCAGTTAATCATCGCAGATGACTGTTTCCAGATTTCAAGTGTTCCAAGCAGTCGAGTGAAACAAGTACTTGTTGACTCAGTTGAGAAGTTATTTGGGGGTAAGTGATTTGACCGTATTCATCTGTTTCATCTCTCCCTGTAAGTATTTTGATTGATATGAATCGAGTCTAATTTATAATTCCCTGCGTTTTAAGACACAAATAGGCCATTAAATTCAGTGGAGAGATAATTACCTGAAAATCATCATTCTCTTTATTAAATTAGGTCTCCTGCTGAGATAGGGACAAGCTCATAACATGGAAAGAAGAAGCTCACTTGTTATATCTGCAAATGCAGGTCATGTTATAAAACATGCTAACCTCGGGGACGTTGTCAAGGACAAAGTTCCAAGCTTGAACTCTTTCTTGGATAAAGGAAATCCAAGTGAAGAGTACATTATACCATCATTGGCAGCCCTATCAACTGCCAATCGTCTTCTCGTAAGGTGCTGATTTGGTAGACTTGAATATGAGTGATAATTTCTGCATCTTCATCTTGATTAACAAAAATTAAATTTGTATGAATTCCAAATTTATTATTTGGTTGATAGAACAGGTATGAATTAAAGAGCAACCATGGTGAATGGGTTAGGACAGTCAGACCTGACTTAGGTCCCGGGATAGCAGAACGTATATGGGCAGTTGTTCGGTCAACAGATGAAAATGTCGATGTTATTCACTCCGTGATGACTGAATTGCGTGCTGCTCTTACTGACCTTCTCGGGGTACTCTCTCTCTCTCTCTCTCTCTCTCTCTCTCTCTCTCTCTCCCCTCTTTGCACATGCCAAAGTTCATTTTAGGAATCCGTCACTTCATATCAAATGAGTTCGGCATCTTCCTTCCTTTTGCTCTTAAAATGAAACTTTTAGCAGAAGAAATGGATGATACATTCTGTCTCTTATGAATACGTAACATAATCTCTTTGATTTACTCATCAGGATTTCGGTGTCCTCGCAATGCCTACAGTTCCAGGGGATCCACCAAAGCTGCAAACAGATCCTACTACACTGGGAGCTTTTCGTGCCAGGGCTTTCAGCTTCCTATCCATTGCCGTAGTTTCCGGATTCTGCCAGGTTTTTAAGCCCTCTATCTATCTCTACCTCTTCCTCCCTCTCTCCATGTTTGTATACAACACATTACGATCTTTTTCTTTGTCATTGACTGCAAGTATCTTGCGAAAGTTTGTAACTTATTTCTACGTATTTGCAGGTGAGTATACCACTAGGGATGTGCAATAACCTACCTGTTTCGGTTTCCTTGCTGGCAAAGCATGGTTCGGATGGGTTCCTGCTCAATCTTGTGGAGACTCTTTACGACACTCTCAAAGAACAGGTCGGGAAGTTGTGAATCTTGACTACAAGATTTTGAGCTGCAGATTCTGATAATCTTTTCCTAATACATGTGCAAATAAATTCTGCTAGTTTGTTATTGTTTTGTTTAAAAAAAAAAAAAAAAAAAAAAAAAACTGCTTCTGCTGTGTTTTATTGTAAATGTGCTTGTAAAAAAAAAAAAAAAAAAAAAAAAGAAGGTATCCGAGTGTTTTGTAAAATTTTATATAAAATTGATGTGAATATGTTAAATACTAAAAATGATATGACATTTAATGTGATATAGTAATTGTCAAAGAGAATACTCCACATGCAACATTCTTATTTTGTAAAATATGTAGGGGTATACTTGTCATTTGAAAATTTAAATGCCCACTGTTCACTATGCTTAGAAATTTTTAAAGGCATGGTAGACCTTGCTTCTGCCTTTCTTTGCTTTTGTGTTGTCATTGACATCAGTTTTTTAAGCAAGCACTTTTTTTCTTTACCAAACACATTTAATGTTCCAGATTTTTTCATAAGATGTTTTTTATAAAGGCACGACAACCTCAAATCTGTAACAACCCGACTCGATTTTATAGGAATGAATGGGGTATTTTCGTGAAATTTCATTTTGGGCTAGATCTTTTTATTTTGAAATTGGTTTTTGGATCTTAATTGGTGAGCCCAAGGGGCCCAGCTCCTGATTTGTCCCCCGATTCCCTTCCTCTTTTCTTTCTTTTTTTGATTTTTATAACTCTTTCTTTCTTTCCCTCACTTCCCTCTCTTCTCTCCCCACTCACTCCCAGTTCTCTCTCTTTCTCTCGATGTTCTCCTCTCCAGCGAGATACCACACATACACATTGTTGAGAGTTGTCCCGTATCGGTAAGGGACAAAGTTTGCTCTTAAAACAAAACTTTTAGCCGAAGAAATGGATGATACATACTGTCTCTAATGAATACGTAACACAATCTCTTTGATTTACTCATCAGGATTTCGGTGTCCTCGCAATGCCTACAGTTCCAGGGGATCCACCAAAGCTGCAAACAGATCCTACTACACTGGACGGTTTTCGTGCCAGGCTTTCAGCTTCCTATCCATTGTCGTAGTTTCCGGATTCTGCCAGGTTTTTAAGCCCTTATCTATCTCTACCTTTCCGTCCCCCTCTCCATGTTCGTATACGACATGTTACGATCTTTTTCTTGCGAAAGTTTGTAACTTATTTCTACATATTTGCAGGTGAGTATACCATTAGGGATGTGCGATAACCTACCTGTTTCAGTTTCCTTGCTGGCAAAGCATGGCTCAGATGGGTTCCTGCTCAATCTTGTGGAGACTCTTCACGACACTCTTAAAGAACACTTCGGGAAGTTGTGAATGTTGACTACAAGATTTTGAGTTGCAGATTCTGATAATCCTTTCCTAATATATTTGCTGGTAAGCTCTGCTAATTTGGTACTGTTATGTTTAAAAAAAAAAAAGGTTTCTGCTGTGTTTTGAGAATAAACAGTTGTAAAATAAAGTTGTTGAGCGTTTGATAAACTTTTATTGTAAAAATGCTTGTAAAAAAAAAAAAAAACAGTATCTGAGTGTTTTGTAAACCTTTATATAAATTTGACGTGAATATGTTAAATACTAAAAATGATATGACATTTAATGTGATATAATAATTATCAAAAGGAATACTGCACGGGCAACGATTGTTATTTTGTAAAATATGCAGGGGTATACTTCGTAATTTGAAAATTTCATTAAATGCCCACTGTTCACTATGCTTAGAAATTTTTAGAAGCATAGTAGACCTTGCTTTTCTTTGCTTTTTTGTTGTCATTGACAACAATTTTTTAAATAAACTTTTTTTTTTTCTTTACCAAACACATTTGATGTTCCAGATTTTTTTCATAAGCTGTTTTTTATAAAAGCACCACAACAGCCAAATCACTCATAAGGTTTAAAATAGAGAAGAAATTTCCTGCTTTATCCTTGTGTATGGTCCATGAGCAAGCTATCAAGCTTATATATTAGCTTTCATTGTGGAGGAAATTGCAATAATGATTTGTCAACTTTAACCTAATTGGAGCAATGGTCTCTCAACTAAAAGTTCATTACCACTGGTCCCTAAACTCATCAAAACGTGCAGATATGGTCTTTTTTGTCAACTCCATTAGAACTTCATTAAAAATGAGTCACATGTCATGCACGTGAAGATAAATTAAGGGGCAAATATAAAAAATCGAATAAGAAAAATTGTATTAATGGTTCCTCAACTTTAATCCAACTAAGGAAATGGTCTCTCAACTTTAATTCAATTAGAACAATGGTCCCTCAACTTTAACTCATTGTATCAATGCTCCTTCAACTTTAACCTATTGTAGCAATGCTTCTTCAACTTTAACCCATTATAGCAATGGTCCTTCCAACATAACTCATTTTGACAGAGTTTTGATAGAAGTTGACGAAAAGGACCATAGCTATACGTTTTGATGAGTTGAGGGACCAATGTGAATGGATTTTTGGTTGAAGGAACATTGTTCTAATTTGGTTAAAGTTGAGAGATCATTGTTACAATTTATTCTTCATTGTCGCATTTTAACAGAAAAGTGGTTTCCGTACTCTCCTTTTCACCTCCTGTATTTTCTTTCTTGATTTTGTCCTTAAATTATCAATACAATGGCTAGAAATTAAAGAGATTGCATATGTCCAAATGAGAGTAGAAACCACTCCACCGCTTTTCGTATACTGTCTATCTTATGAGGAGAAAATACCCACTCCATATACTTGGATAGTATTAAGGTGACTTTGGATGCGGTTCCTATTTATTAACGTTCTTTGATTGAAACCTGTTGGTTTTCAGTTTTTTTATTGAAGTCTCTGAAATTAATACAATAATTCATTTCTATATAGGTTATTACAATTACTTATATTAATGAGATTTTAAATAAAATCCATGATTTGTGGGATTGAAAATTAAAAAAAAAAATTATACTTATATAAAAATAATGACATGATTTGTCATTAAGATAAACTATATTTAAATAAAACCCATGATTTGTCATTACTTATATTAATGACATTTTACAGATAAAAAATTGGTAGCTTTTATATGTTGCCGTTTTGACACACCCCGACGTAGAGTATCCACGCAGACACCCGAATTGTGATGTGCTGGCCAACACTTAGAAGGTGACGAAGATATAATGTGTAATGATATGGAAAATGTGAATAAATTAAAACATAAAAGTGATCAATTTAGACTGCGTAGTGAGTGGGATTGAACTCATATCAAGTGATGTCAAAGCATAGATAAATTGCAATAAAAGAAGAGTAATGACATTTATACTAAAAGGAGAAGCCTCCAACATAACAACTTTTACCACCAATCCTCTGTAAAACTTAAAGAAAGCTGAGAGTTCCACTTCAATTGCATACCCATCAAAACTGAGATGCACGTATTTATAATCATCTCAACGTTACAGCATGGGTTTGAAACCCCTAGATACAAGGAAGTTTTGAAAGTTTAAAAATACAAATAGAAAGCTATAAGGATTACATGCGCAGCCTAGATTACATCAGATATTTGAAAACAAATCCTATAAACTAGGAATGGCTGAAAGGATAAGAGTTTGAAGTAAATCAAACTCCTGAAGATGCGGTGATAGCAGCTTAACGTTGACTTCGTCTAACATAATCGTCATCACGAAATCTCTGCCACTGAAATTCCTGGAGGGAGGAAAAACAAGGGTGGATGGGCCTGAAAAATAAAATTTTGTAAATCGTTTTCGAAAATGTGTAACATCTCCCTGTAAATCGTTTTTCGTTAATGGTATCTGCAGTTTTTCTTATCAAGGGAGCACAAGTATAGATTGCAGTGTTATAACGTTTGGTATGTGGGACGGGATGGAACAGAGTGGGACAAGGCGTTCTGTCCCACGTTTGGTGCGCCTAAAACGGGTGGAACGAGCTATTCCACGGGACGAGTTTTGGGTGAATTTTCGTTCCACCTCACCCCCTGGAACGACTCGTTCCGCATCCGTGGAACACAAAATTATAACATCTCCGTCTCATTCTTCTTCCTCCTTGTTTCCATCCGAGGGCATCTTTGCTCCCGCTCCGTTCCGTTCCGTCTTGTCCCGTCCTGTCCCGTCCCGTCCCATTCCGTTCCGTCCCGTCTGCATACCAAACGATACCCACTGAACCAGGTTTTGTGCTTCTGGTCATTTTATTGGTTGTGTTGTTTCTCATTTTATATCCCTGAGAAACGCCGTCACTGTTTTCATGCCTTCCAGTTGGTTAACTTTGTTTCTTAATTAGGTTTCTTAAGTGACATATTTGACGTACCAAGGTTTTGGAAGTCCCGCAAGTACCTTCAGCCAAACCGCTGGCTCCAAAGTTGGTTGAGAAGGGAAATCCAAGCTCTGATGCAGGTCTTGACTTCTTCTGCATAAATTTTCTCTCGTGGTGAGACGAGGACATTTCAACATCCTATAGAGTTTCATTTTTTTTTTTCTTTGGCTTGGCAATGAACTTGATCACCTAGTCCAATTAGCTAAATCATAAAATTGTGCATGTGGTCTTTCTTTATCTATGACGACCACAGCAGAACATGCGTGTTATAGTTATTCGGGTGACTCTTTATAGCTAACTTTCTTCTTTTGCTACTTGTAGAAGGTAGGTGTTGACTGTAGGAACTATAAATGGTTAGTCTTCAACAAGGATCACAAACAACATATCTTACATATAACATTACAAGAGTTGGCATTAAAAAGAGATCGACCATACATGAGAACCCATCTGCCCAGCAACAAAGACAGCATCAACACCAACTGAAAAACCTGGTGCAGGGTGTGTTTACTGGAAACACGTAAGAGTTCTTCTACTCACTCAAGACCTTATGTTCCAATGGTGATAGAACCCTGATTACAGAACATTTTCTTTGTGAGCAGGGAGTCCTTTTTATAAGTATAACCTTTGCCAACTTCCATCTATCGTGGAGTGTTGGTTCTTTACCGTTATTTGCAGTTTCAGATTGCAAGTTGTTTTGTGATCACAATCACCACATATTCCTTGATTATAGGAAGCAGTTTTACACGTTTACAACTCCCACCAGTTTGTACAATTGGCAACTGCATTTCTTCCTTATACAATTTAGTTTAGTCCAATTAGGTTTCTTACATTGACATCGTCATGCACCAGATACATGGCGTGATTAATTCATCCCTGACGAGGTGATATGTGTTACTCCCTAGATATTCAATTGAAAAATCGAATAACGTTCCGAAGTTTAGTTCCCATCTTTTGAGTTCTTTAGGACAAGATATGAGAAAGAACAACATTGAAGCGCTTAACGTGCAAAATTTCAATGAACTCTTTGTCTGAACTTTTACCTGGACCATGCATTTTCAAGGGATGAACAAAAAGGTCGAACGACAGCACCTGAAGAAAAACAAAGAGAATTTCAAGAATCAACCTCTGATGCAGCAGGGCCTTTCCTGGCAGCAAGAACCAATCGGTTTGTAAACGAGGTGGAACTATTTCTTGCTTCAGGTTTGAACATTGAAGCATACGCTGCTGTGTGCATGCAACGCTTAGGTTGGAGTGCTCCGGGAGCAACTACAGAGCCAGCAGAGGTCGAACTCGCCGTGCACAGACCTGTGATCCCTTTTTTATACATATTTTTTTATTCCGACAGCAGCGAATGAAAGTTCGTCTACATATGTATGGAGCTGCCACTTGAAATTTTGTTTCAGTGATAATACATTGTCTACTTGCGTTGGATCCATAAGCTAAGAAATTCACAATATTCTACTTGCTTTGGTCTTGACAATAAAAATCGATAGAAATGGTCTTTGAATTGTTCTTCTTTTTGCGGGTATTTTGTCAAATCAACTTCTCTACTTAAAGAGGATATTGACAGTTTTTTATGAAATGAGCAAAATAATTTATAATGGACAAATTCAAGGACTACTTGTATCGATTCTCAACATATGAGGACCATAGTGAGGACTTAAGCAACCTCAAAATTTCCACTTTGCCCTCGGTGACTGAAGTGACCACCTTATCAAAAACAGATATTTTTAAGGAATAGTATCTGTCCTTGCATTTGAATAGGATCGTCGTATGATTGATGAGTGGAGAGCTATTCACTTCTGTCGTCAAATGTGGAGCTGCTGCTGAGGCTGAGATTGTCTGTGAGAGATGGCGATAGACTCAGATCATGGAGCTTTCGTGGAGAAATTCCTTCTCCGACCGCCGTCTTCATCACATGACCTTCCTCTGAGCGGCCTCACCTTTGCCGTTAAAGACATGTGAGAGCTACTCTTAAATTTTCCTCAATTATATCACTCTTCTATTTGGTTGATGCTTTAAATTTTGCAGTGTTATACTTAAAATTCATATGCTTTTGTGCTTATTTGCGGATTTCGGATTTGGGTTGAATCAGTTTTCTCCAAGAACCCAATTTTGTGTGTTGTTTCTGTGATTAGGCGTTTCGTCATTTGAGAATATTTTTATTTTATTTTATGAAGCACTTGAATTTTTAATGAAACTTTGTGGTGGATTTACTTCTACTAAAGTAAAAATACTTCCAGCCAGCAAAAGCACTTATGATGAGAAGTGCTTTTTCAGAGAAGCGTTTAAATATATCTTCCTGCTTTGTGTGGTTTTATGTGTGCTTGTGGAACCATGATGATGAACTTCAGGGTGTTGAATTGTGCAATTTTTTTCATGTGTGTGTGTGTGTAAAAGCCAAAACATTTTTGTGTTCACTGAAATTTGAACTTGGAGGCAGATTTGATGTGGCTGGACGTGTGACTGGGTTTGGGAATCCTGATTGGGCGAGGACTCACCCGGCTGCTGAATCAACAGCTCCGGCTGTTTCGGCAATATTAAATGGAGGTGCGACAAGTATTGGTATAACTGTCATGGATGAAATGGCATACTGGTTAGTGCAAAGAGGCCTTATCTTACTTCACATGCTTAAACTTGCATTATTGTTTTGTTTGCAAAAATTTTGACAACTGATTGATCGCTACAAGTCTCTTTTCGTTGTAAAAGTATTTAAACAATGATTTTGTGCATTCAAAAATCACTCGACAGAAAAGGCCCTTGAATTTCGCATTGTGTTGTTGGCAGTATAAATGGAGAGAACAAGCATTATGGCACACCCAGAAATCCGTGCGCACCAGATAGGGTGCCTGGAGGCTCTTCTAGTGGTTCTGCTGTTGCCGTAGCTGTAGGCCAAGCAGATTTTTCCTTAGGTAAGTTATTCCTTGTGTGCTTTTGTTGTTTTATTGCTTCTTTATGTTGAAGCACAAGACCCTCACCTTTTCAGGAACCGACACTGGAGGAAGTGTAAGAGTTCCTGCTTCATATTGTGGAATTTTTGGTTTTCGGCCATCTCATGGTGTCATTTCTACTTCTGGAGTTACTCCTCTGGCACAAAGTTTCGATACAGTGGGTGAGAAATCAATGACATTTTATATTGCAGACCGGCTTAGGAAATTGATTTTTGGTTGTGACAAAAAAAAAAAGTCATGTTTCGGTTTTCCCTCGATTTTATATAACAGGAACTCTCTATTTCTGTTTCTAGAAAGTAGCTAACTTCTTCTGCTTTAATGATTCATATGCCATCCATGCATTCTGCATTTTTGTTGATTATTACTTATGACACTTCTGTGTTTAAGTTTTTCTGCAATTGGAAATATAGTACTTCGAAAGCTTGACCTATGCGAATGATCTATCTAGCACTCTAAGCAATCGGAAACCATCCTTTTGACACTAATTTCTGATATAGGATGGTTTGCAAGGGATCCTGCGATTTTGAATAGAGTTGGACGAGTGCTACTCCAATTGCCTGATACCGGTCCTGTCGTACCCACTCAGTTAATCATCGCAGAAGACTGTTTCCGGTTTTCAAGTGTTCCAAGCAGTCGAGTGAAACAAGTACTTGTTGGCTCAGTTGAGAAGGTATTTGGGGGTAAGTGATTTGACTGTATTCATCTGTTTCATCTCTCGCTGTAAGTATTTTGATTGACATGAATCAAGACCAATTTATAATTCCCCTCGCGTTTTAAGACACAAATAGACCATTAAATTCAGTAGACAGATTATTACCTGAAAATCATCATTCACTTAATTAAATTAGGTCTCCTGCTGAGAAGGGGACAAGCTCATAACATGGAAAGAAGAAGCTCAGCTCGCTCGTTATATCTGCAAATGCAGGTCATGTTATAAAACATGCTAACCTCGGGGACGTTGTCAAGGACAAAGTTCCAAGCTTGAACTCTTTCTTGGATAAAGGAAATCCAAGTGAAGAGTACATTATACCATCATTGGCAGCCCTATCAACCGCCGATCGTCTACTTGAAAGGTGCTGATTTGGTGGACTTGAATATGAGTGATAATTTCTGCATCTTCATCTTGATTAACAAAAATTAAATTTGTCGTTCATAATGAATTCCAAATTTATTATTTGGTTGATAGGATAGGTATGAATTCAAGAGAAACCATGGTGAATGGGTTAGTACGGTCAGACCTGACTTAGGTCCCGGGATAGGAGAACGTATATGGGCAGCTGTTCGGTCAACAGATGAAAATGTCGATGTTTGTCACTCCGTGATGACTGAATTGCGTGCTGCCCTTACTAACCTTCTCGGGGTACTCTCTCTCTCTCTCTCTCTCTCTCTCTCTCTCTCTCTCTCTCTCTCTCTCTCTCTCTCACATCTTTGACTAACTGTTATTTGTTAGCATCTTCCTTTCCTTTTGCTCTTAAAACGAAACTTTTAGCAGAAGAAATGGATGATACATACTGTCTCTAATGAATACGTAACACAATCTCTTTGATTTACTTATCAGGATTTCGGTGTCCTCGCAATGCCTACAGTTCCAGGGGATCCACCAAAGCTGCAAACAGATCCTACTACTCTGCACAATTTTCGTGCCAGGGCTTTCAGCTTCTTATCCATCGCCGTAGTTTCCGGATTCTGCCAGGTTTTTAAGCCCTGTATCTATCTCTACCTCTTCCTTCCCCTCTCCATGTTTGTATACGATACATTACGATCTTTTTCTTCGTCAATGACTGCAAGTATCTTGCGAAAGTTTGTAACGTATTTCTACGTATTTGCAGGTTACTATACCACTAGGGATGTACGATAACCTACCTGTTTCAGTTTCCTTGCTGGCAAAGCATGGTTCGGATGGGTTCCTGCTCAATCTTGTCGAGACTCTTTGCGACACTCTCAAAGAACACGTCGGGAAGTTGTGAATGTTGACTACAGGATTTTGAGTTGCAGATCTGATAATCTCTTCCTGATATGCATGTCCTTGTAAGTTCTGCTAGTTTGGTATTGTTATGTTTTCACAAAAACTGTTTCTTCTGTATTTTGAGAATAAGCAGCTGTAAAATAAAGTTGTTGAACGTTTGCTAAACTTTTATTGTAAAAGTGCTTGTAAAAAGAAAATAGTATATGAGTGTTTTGAAAACTTTTATATAAAATTGATGTGAATATATTAAATGACTAAAAATGATGTAACATTTAATGTAATATAATAATTGCCAACGAGAATATTGCACGGGCAACGATTGTCATTTTGTAAAATATGCGGGGATATATTGGCCATTTAAAAATTTCATTAAATGGTCACTGTTCACTATGGTTGGAAAAAAAAAACATTTTTTTAAAGAAGCATAGTAGACCTTGTTTCTACTTTTTTATGATTTTCTGCTGTCATTGACAATAATTTTTGAAATAAGCACTTTTTTTTTTTTTTTTTTTTAAATTTTACGAAACACATTTGATGTTTCAAATTTTTTTATAAGCTATTTTTCTATAAAAGCACCACAACTCCAAATTAGCCATAAGGTCTAAAATAGATATTAAGGTTCCTGCTTTTATCCTTCTGTATGGTTCATGAGCAAGCTATCAAGCGTATATATTAGCTCTCATTGTCTCATTTCATCAGGAAAGTGGTTTCGGTACTCTTCTTTTCACTTTTGCAGTTTCTTTCTTAATTTTGTCCTTAAACTATCGATACAACGACCAGAAAGTAAGAGACTGCATACATTCAAAGGAGTGTGTAGAAATCACCTGCTTTTTCGTATGCTATCTATCTTGTGAGGAGAAAATATTCACTCAATAGGATTTGGATCCCATCGGGATTGGGACGTGTGATCAAAAATTATTTGATTTTTTAATTTAAAATTAAACACAAATAATACATAACAAAAACTGACCGTACAACGTACAATGAATGGTTAAAATGTAAGAATTCCTAGGATCTCTACAAAAAGGCTTCGAAGAGGATCCTCATCCCACTCCATATACTTGGATAGTATAATTAGTAATTTAGTTATGTAATATTGAGACGTGTTGACTAATTCACAATCTAAATTACAATACAAATAAAAAAAAAAACCAAAATTTGAGAGTTTTAACGAAAAGGTCACGATATTATTTTTTTAAAAGAAAAATCATATTTTAACACTAAAAAGTCAATCATGGTACTATTCACGTTATCCTTTATTTTGTCTTAATCATTAAAACTCAAAGTTTTCAAATTTTTTTCATTAGTTTTCCTCCAAAATTATAAGTGAAAAGAAAGTGGTCCGAGTAGAAATGCGAGTTGTGTGGTGGACCTTTTGGGTGTCCTGCTTCGAAAGTATCGAAGAATGTACATGTGATGTTGAGTGGAGAAGGATTTTCATGCAATAAAGATTAACTATACGGATATTTTATTTCAATCACTCACTATTTTATAGAAAAGTTAACATCTAAGGCAATGAGCGATTAATTTATAAGTTTGCATTTCTGTTATATGTTAGTAATTTGATTTGTCGGACGAGAAATATTAAGGAGATTCTGATAAAAGTGAATTAAGACCTTAGTCGGACGAGAAATACTCAACAAAATCGAGTGATTCAAAAACAGAAATCATAGTTCTCGAAGAGACGAAGAGGACGATACCTCGCAAGATGGCTAACTCGCCGTGGTTTTGCTGGAAAACATCTTGAAAGCTGCGGAGGTCGCCGGAAATTGGGTAAGATTCAAATGGATATAACTTCTTCAATACTCAACGAAATTGGGTGAAACAAAAAGGAAAGTTGTAGTACTCAGCGAGATGAAGAGATTGATACCTTGCACGCAGGCCAACTCGCCTTGCTTTGGCTGGAAAGGGGTTGTGCTTGCTGGAAAAATTTGGAAAAGCAACTCCGAGCTATTTTCTGTGATTCACACCTATACACCACTAAAAACAACCTTCAATCTAACCCTAAAACACAACCCAAGGATTTCGAGAAGCTTACCAACGTCGAAAAAACATGAAACACGTCAGAGAAGACGATGAACAATGACACCACCACTGTTGGGGTTCCATGAAGGTTTGCTTGAGTTTTCCCGAGGTTCCTACGTCCAGTGATGTTGGTTTGGGGTTGCTGTTGCTTGTGTGACGAAATCGAGAAAAGAGGGAGAGATCAAAGAGGGAATGCATGGGGAGGTAAAGGTCCAGGGGTGAGGGAAGAAAGTGTGGGGGAAATGAGAGAGATGAGAGGCTCGAGGGACAAAATCAGGGGGTGGGCCCCTTGGGCACACCATTTAAGACCCAAAAATCATTATTTTAAACAAAAGAAACCTAACTAAAGTGAAAATACGAAAATACCCTTTTTGTTCTGTAAATCCCGAGCGGGTTGTTACACATACTGTCTTTAATGAATACGTAACACAATCTCTTTGATTTACTCATTAGGATTTCGGTGTCCTCGCAATGCTTACAGTTCCAGGGGATCCACCAAAGCTGCAAACAGATCCTACTACTCTTCACAATTTTCGTGCCAGGGCTTTCAGCTTCCTATCCATTGTCGTAGTTTCCGGATTCTGCTAGGTTTTTAAGCCCTTTATTTATCTCAACCTCTCCCTCCCCTTCTCCATGTTTGTATACGACACATTACGATCTTCTTCTTCGTCATTGACTGCAAGTATCTCGCGAAAGTTTGTAACGTATCTCTGCGTATTTGTAGGTGACTATACCACTAGGGATGTACGATAACCTACCTGTTTCAGTTTCCTTGCTGGCAAAGCATGGTTCGGATGGGTTCCTGCTCAATCTTGTCGAGACTCTTTACGACACTCTCAAAGAATACGTCGGGAAATTGTGAATGTTGACTACAGGATTTTGAGTTGCAGATCTGATAATCTCTTCCTGATATATATGTCCTTGTAAGTTCTGCTAGTTTGATATCTTCGGCTGTATTTTGAGAATAAACAGCTGTAAAATAAAGTTGTTGGGCTTTTAGTAAACTTTTTGTAAAAGTGCTTGTAAAAAAAAAAAAAAAAAAAAAAAAGTATCTAAGTGTTTTGTAAAGTTTTATATAAAATTGATGTGGATATGTTAAATGACAAAAAAGGATATAACATTTAATGTGATATAATAATTGCCAAAGAGAATATTGCACGGGCAACGATTGTCATTTTGTAGAATATGCGGGGATATATTTGTCATTTGAAAAATTCATTAAATAGTCATTGTTCACTATGGTTAGAAAAAAAAATAACATTTTTTTAAGAAGCATAGTAGGCCTTGTTTCTGCTTTTCTATGATTTTCTGTTTCATTGACAATAGTTTTTTAAATAAGCATTTTTTTATTTTATTTTACGAACCATCCTTGATGTTCCAAATTTTTTTATAAGCTATTTTTCTATAAAAGCACCACAACTCCAAACTAGCCATAAGGTCTAAAATAGATAGGAATTTTCCTACTTTTATCCTTCTGTATGGTTCATGTGCTAGCTATCAAGCTTATATATTAGTTCTCATTGTCTCATTTTAACAGGAAAGTGGTTTCGGTACTCTCCTTTTCACTTCTGCATTTTCTTTCTTAATTTTGTCTTTAAATTATCAATACAACGGCTAGAAAGTAGAGAGACTACATACATTCAACGAAGTGTGTAGAAATCAGCCCACCGCTTTTTTGTTTGCTATCTATCTTGTGAGGAGAAAATATTCACTCTATAGGATTTGGATCCCATCCGGATTCAAATTGTAGAGATTCTAGGAATCCTCATATCTTAGTCATTCATCGTACATCATGTGGTCAGAAATTATTTTATTTTATTTATTTAAAATTAAACACAAATAGTACATAACAAAAACTGACCATACAATATACGATGAACGGCTAAAATGTGAGAATTTCTAGGATCTCTACAAAAAGGCTGCAAAAAGGATCCTCATCCCACTCCATATGCTTGGATAGTATAATTAGTAATTTAGTTATGTAATATTGGGATGTGTTTGTTGAGACTTGTCCCACATCGGTGAGGGACAAGATTTGCTATGTGCTTATATGGTCTTAGGCTACTCCTCATATTACCAATTGGTTTTATGGTGGTACCTCAATTTAATCATGGTATCAGAGCAGGCTCCACGTTTCCCAGTTGTTGTCCACGTGTAGGCTTGAAAATCCGCCACATGTGTGGGGGCGTGTTGAGAGTTGTTCCACATCGATGAGGGACAAGGTTTGCTATGTGCTTATATGATATTGGGTTACTTCTCATATTGTCAATTGGTTGTATGGTGGAACCTCAATTTCATTAGTGTTGATTAATCCACAATCTATATTACAACACAAATAAAAAAATAAACCAAAATTTGGGAGTTTTAACGAAAAGCCTACAGTGTTGTTTACTTTAACGAAAAACCACATTTTAAAACTAAAAAGTCAATCATGGTACTATTCACTTTACCTTTTATTTTGTCACTATCGTTAAAACTCAAAGTTTTCAAGTCATTTTCATTAGTTTTCCTTCAAAATTATAAGTGGAAAGGAAGTGGTCTGAGTAGAAATGTGAGTTGTGTGGTGGACCTTGTGGATGTTTTGCTTCAAAAGTATCGAAGAATGTATATGTGATGTTGAGTGGAGAAGGATTTTCATGCAATTAAGATTAACTATATGGATATTTTATTTCAATCACATATTATTTTATTGGAAAACTAATGAAAATGGTTTGAAAACTTTGAGTTTAACGATAAGGACAAAATAAAGGGTAAAGTGAATAATACTAGGTTTGACTTTTTAGTGTAAAAATATGGTTTTTCGTTAAAGTGAACAATACCGCGGGCTTTTCATTAAAACTCCCCCTTTTTTTTTTTATAGAAAAATTAACATCTAAAGCAATGAGTAATTAATTTATAAGTCTGCATTATCGTTATATGTTAGTAATTTAATTTTTTGGATGAGAAATATTAAGGAGACTCTATTAAAAGTGAATTAGGATCCTAGCCAGATCCTCTTTGTAGGGAATCGGATGATCAATCAATTGTGTCCGTTTATCGTACATCGTGCAGTCATAAATCATTTTAAATTTTTTTATATAAAATTATATGAACAATACCCAATAAAAACTGACTGCACAATATACACTGAACAGACATGATAGATTGATCATCTAGATCCCTACAAAGAGGATCTAGAAAGGATCCTTATCCTTCAAAAGTGGGACT